GCTACAACGCTGGCAAAGTGCGGGTCAGCATACTTTAACATATCTTTAAAAAACTAGGTACTTTAAATTTTATACAACGAAAATTCGAAAAAAATATTGCGAAAGTTTGTACGTGTGTTTGTTACTATTTTTCTGAAATATCGGTAACGGTGTTGTGTTGTTACTGTAACACATAGAATACTGGTAGGCAACTAGGGATGCATCACGCAGCCGAGCGAAGTGGGGGTACCTAAGTCGCTAGTATCTGAAATCTAAAGATTTGATGTATACCTATGTCCAACAAAATACATAAATATATATTATAAACCTAATATTTACATAATTATTTTTCCCAATCTAAAAAAATAAATAAAATACATTAGTGATTAAACTATAGGAAATTTTTACTAAACGAATACAAACTACAAGGTACGTATAAACTATTCCGATAAAATATAGTTCAGATAATAAAATGTGTTTGACAGAAGTAGTCCAGAGAAATAACTTAATGTAATAACTACATAAATAAGTACTTCATTTACGTAAATAATGGCGCATATCATGTGTGTCGTGTTTTTTACTTCTAATTTTACTAAACTTTAATCCTATGTCAAAATATATGTAATAAATATAAGTATACTACAAATCTTGGCCGAGTATATTTATAGATATACAACATATAAATATAATAGACAATATAACTAGATTTTTAATGTGTAATTTAAAATAAGTGTCAACGACGCATACCACTAAAATAAACACTGCCAGTGTTCACGTCTACATATTAAGTCCATCTCGACAAAAAATTAAAGGTTGAACAAACTTTTGGCGGGGACACGGGGCGAATAGAAAATGTGGGAACGAGGCTCCGAGCATTGTTGTTAAGCATTCATATGCCACTCCACTCACCCATTGCCGGGACATCCGCCGCTACTTCCGCTGCCAAAGATGGTGGATCTTGAAACGACTAGTTCGTTGACAGGGCCTGTCGATGTCCCCGATACAGTAACATAACAACAGCACTGTTATTCGGAATATCTAATAAACACTATCACTTTACGGAAAATTCGTTTGGGCCGTGTAAACATAATTTCTTCCACAAGCGGGGCACACACCCGGTGTGGCCGATGAGCTCGGTAAACTTGCGTTTAAAGCGTCTTCAGTGGCTATTTTTGATGCAAAAACGCGTTGGGAGCTGTTTGAAACGCCAATGTCTAGAGCATGCACGGAATATGCAATACCATCAGCCTTGATGTTTATATTGAGTGTAGGTTTCCCTACATTGTTTTTTTATAATAAAATTGCCAAATAACTCACTCAATGGCTTCATGTTTTATTTATAAGTAAAATATTTTTAGTATTATATTTCCAAACATTTTTTATTATTAGAACTCTTAAGAGAGATAGGTACTTACGTGCTATTAATGCAAAACATTTGTTTAAAAGAAATAAGTATTAAATTAAATGTATTTTCAATTCATAAACACTTTTTCGTTTTATTTTATTAACACTTCTTAGTCTATGGTATAATATAAAAAAATATTAGGTACCTACATTTAGTTAAATGTTGAAGTGAATAAGATGTATGTAGGTACTTATACTAAGTACGTGAAATAAGTATTATTAAAGAGATACCTTATATGAAGAATACGAGTACGTGTTGATCGTTTAAAGAATCAACCTGCTGTACCAAAATGATAACTCTATAATAACAATAAGATGTTTTTATATTACGTTGCGTATCTTTAACGACCTGCGTACCTATGTAAAGAAGTCCTTACTTATAAGTGACTCTTAGCCCCGTTTAATAAATTCACTTTGCGACCTGAGTTTTAAGCTCTCACTTGGCATAATTATATACATAGGTACACGCACGTTTTTACCCTCTGCTCTGCTCGCGTCATATGTACACCGAGTGTAGTATACCTACATATTATGTGTTAATTCCAAATATACCTACGTCATTTTCATTCGCTCAAATCGCTTATGTCTTTACAACGTGAAGAAGTAATTCACGCACACATATTTATTTGCTCATTGTTAATATTTTTGTGTGATAAAATGATATTTATCTAGAGCTATAAACACCAAACAAGAGTGTAGAAACAATGTACAGTTATAATCAACGGTTGTAGTTTTAGACAATAATTTGGAAGCAAGGGTTGTCACGAGTAAAAAAATATTGAAATACCTAAGTAGATACTCAATTACTTTTAATTTTACGAAATTGGAAATTTTTTAATTAAATGTGCGATTTTCTTGTTAATGAAGTTATTTGTATTATTAAATGGCTTTGTAGGTGAAATTTACATTTTTTATCATTCTATGCTAGCGGCTCACCCTCGCTTCGCTCGGGTTCGCCTCTAGAAAAACAAAAACAAATATATCGCACGGGAACCGTACATTTTTCAGGGATAAAATGTAGCCTATTTATTATTCTAATGTATGAACTATATTGTTGCAAAGTTTTATTAAAATCCAATTAGTAGTTTTTGTGTACTAAGCTGCATATGTTACTATAGTTTTTAACTATCCCATGCGAATTCTTTAATTTTTCGGGATGAAAAGTATCTAAGATGTTGACCGGAGATATAAGGTATCACCATGCAAAACTTCATTTAAATCGGTCCAACAGTTTGGAAGATTATCCCGTACAAACAGACAAACAGAAAAACAGACATGTTTGTTTGATCAAATTTTTTGTAAAAAAAAAAAAAAAAATTAATTTGTTCTATTTCTCTCCTTACATACCCCTGACTCAGTTTTTAGCATTTTTTACTATGTTCAGACATTCGACATCTACAGTTTTATTATATGCATAGATTTGAATGAATTGAATAGAGCGGGTAGGAGAGTTTCTGACTAGACTGTTAACTTAATTTGGCAACTTATGTTATTAATACAATCAAAAAATTAAGTTAGTTAAGAAAAAATAAATTTCAACTAGAAATTATTTTTGGAGTCATTTATAACTCTCTCTAACATAATCTATATCTGTGATTAGTGCCCTCTTAGAATAAAAAAAAATAAAATATCACTGCAATAAATTGTTTTTTTTTCTCGTCCAGGAAACGAAAAGTTTACGTTGTGGAGTACATTTAACAATAATACCTATCAATGAATACCAGTTTTAAGCCATATCTGTTTAAGGTTGGATGTTCCATAACCGAGACTTTCCAACTTCCCTGGTCAAAATAGACGTCAACTGATGTAATAAAATCCGACAAGATCTGTATTTATCTAAGGACTTTATGAGTAGCAATCTCTTATCGCACAGCACGAGTTACTATTTTGTTGGGACTAATATCTATTTATATTTTTAAGTACAAAATTGAAACGAATATAAACGAATTTTTAAGATGTTATTTCATGACAGTACTTCACAAAATAAAGTATTAAAAACATACGCGTCAGCCCTAAAAGTCATTTCCTGCCTCCCGGACTGCGTACAACGGGGTTCTATGTAGTTCGGGAGCTAACTATTTACATTACTTCAAGATCCTAACGAATACTGTGTCAAAAACGGTTTTTTGCAAAGTATAGGGTCATTTTTATCATAAGTACGGTTCAAGAAACTATAATTATGAATAGATATTATAATTTACCACTCATCAACCAAAACAGACATCTCATGCTCACATAAACATAAACTAGTGATGAGTATTTTAAATAAAACTTATATATAATGTAATATTAAAAACAAAATTCAAGTCCTTTTTTCTTGGTATTTCAGATGTCAAAAGCTCTACTGGCATTTCGGGAAAATACTCCTGAGAAGAATTACCTACTACCAAAAAAAGAACTATACCTAATAGGCCTTAAAGTGATGTAAAATATGTTCGCGTGTATATTGTAAGTTAAAGTAAAAGAGCTGCAAACTTTATTTATATAAAAGAAAAGCTTAAAATTATTCCAAAGGAAAGCTTAATTTAAAATCATTTTAAAATAAAATCGATCGGTACGGTACACCCATGCGATTCTGAATAAGCTTACGTGGGCAAAAAGCTTTTCCAGAAAATATTTGAAAGACTAAAATAACATAAGAACTGTAAAAGGCCAAGTGTTACATTTTTCCGTGTCGGGTCTGTCACATAATCGAAAATTAAAATATACAAATAAATCATCTTTTTTATTATTTTTATTCCTATCCAGATGCTCTAAATTTAAAATAAAAAAATAAGATAAAGTAGCTGGACAAATATTTATATATTAGTCGTACAGTAACTGGATTAATAGTCACCTTCAAAATATTTCACTAAATATAAACTTTTGAAATAAATCCTAGTAATAACTTTGTTATATCTTGGCATAACTTACAAGAAATAAGCTTTTATTCGACTTTTTTATTATTATATTAGTCAAAGTGTACTCTAATATATAACCTATTACAACGTTAACTAAATATAATAATAGTTGAACGTTTACATGAATATGTACATTGAAATATTATCAAAAAAAATCTTTGGTCTATTGTATTATTGATCTTAACACCTGAGCTGCGCAGTAAAAGCTTCATTCAAATAATATGCGTACTCTCTCTGCTCCTCTAAGGACCTCTACTAGACTTAATACTGGCAACAATAATTATATTTCAATATACATTGCTTTATCGAATTCTAAGCATTAATTTAATCGTTGATTTATGCAGCATTGTATGATACACTAGCGTCAATGTCACTTGTCATTGCTCGCACTTTGATTGTGTGAGTCAGTGTGTACAAATGAAAGTGAGGTTAAACTTGAAATTTGCTAGAGTGAGACAAAACGCTATGTATACATTGACAGAATAAAATAACTTTACGGCATTATAGCCTTTCGCACAATGGTATAGCGTTTATAAATGTGCACACAATTTACAATATAAGTATATATATAGTGGCAACTGTACTGTCACACAAATTAAATCAACGCAACCACTATTACAAATCGTTCACTATAATACACGTATACACTGTGTATGTATGCAACATTGACAAGTTTCCCCAGTATACATTGGGGTTTTCTTAGGGAGGGTCGTGAAGATGACCGGAGTAGACGAAATATTGAACTATCAAAGGAATCCCGATGATGACTTCTACGGGTTGCTGGGATGTGATGAAAACTCATCTGTAAGTACCATTCGGCCATATTATGCATACATTGCAAAAAATATTGATTAATCTTATATTTGACCTTAATCTGAGGCCCCAGTTGACCTACATCCTGGAACTTATTGGAAAAAAATCCTGCGCGATTCGAATAGATTTTATGATTTGTTAAGGTAAAATAATTAAAAGATCTATTGTTTCATTCGTAAGTATTAATTATGTATGTGTATTTTAATTTATTTTTCAGGTAGAGCAGATAATTACTGAATACAAAGTATTAGCTCTGCAATATCATCCTGATAAGAATGATGGCGACAAGGATGCAGAGGCAAAGTTTCAGAAGTTAAAGGTTAGTTATAGGATTTTCAAAATGAATCATACTTAATTGTGGGGAAACCCGTTTGTTTGTCATAAATACAAGTTTTTTTTAATATTATACAACTACGTAATTAAATATTTTATTATTTTTAGGAAGCCAAAGAGACTTTGTGTGATCCATCTAAGCGGGCACTCTATGACAAGTGGAGGCAGAGTGGAATATCCATGGGCTACAAACAATGGCTTGGTATGAAGGAACATATTCAACAATCAATGCATTGGTCCAAACCAAACACCAAGGACCGAATGTTAGAGGATGAATCTGATCGCTCTTCAGGACCTTCCAGCTTGGGGCCCACAAATGCAGCAACTCGTCGAGCTTCTGAGGGAGGTGCTGCACTATGGGGACGCTGGGGAACTGGTAACCAAGAGCCACCTTCTGAAGTCATTTCCAAATTCCGGAACTATGAAATCTAATTTCATAGTTACTTATTTTCCTTAATTAAAAAGAGGTTAATGTGCCGTAATCTCTTAAAATTATGTTGCAATGTTTAGATTTTAGTTTTAAATTGGGCTGTTGATTTCTTACGATAATTTTATTATATAGTTACTATAATTAGGTATTAATGTTTAGCTATTAAGGCCAATGGCACAATATTCATCAAGTCAGCTCATAGAATGCTCGAATGTCACTCGGTGTCTAAATGTTCAATGTTTAAATGTTTCAAATTTTTCAGTGTTTTGCTGTACATTGATGTTAGAAGCCCCAGTTAGATTTTAGTGTTGAACACTTCTTGTAGTCTTTCCTTAGCTTTAAGCTACGCACATTCCTAAAACATAAGAGTCTGATTATAACATTTCTGCTGTAGTACAATATGTAAGTTTTATGAGAATCTCTATTGTATTTCGAAGAGTTATATTTTTGATCCTCTTTAGGACTATATTTATCTTACTCTAAGTATTACACTACCCACTGATTGGAAGGAAGTAAATATTTTGGAAAGTTGTGACTTAAGTACAGGGTATTGAGAGAAAGGACAGTTTGATTTTAGATGGTGATTAAGAATGATTTACCTAAAACAGAAGTTATTGTTAATCATTCATATTCACAATCTCTTGTTTATATTATTTTGGAACCTTAACAAATCTACAACTGGTATTATATTGTTTTAAATTTTATGTCTTCTAAAGATAGAAATGTTGTTCCCCTGAATTTTAGATACATATAAGTAGAGATAAATGTGTTAAATGTTTTATCAGTATTTACTCTTTATTGAATGTTTCTTAAATTATTATATTATAAATGTTAAATTATAGATGTTGTAGATGAAGTCAAATATTTTATGTCTATAAGAAGCTCTGAATACTTCAAAACAAATTTTATTTTTGATGTAATATCTAAATGGAACAATAAATTTTATTAAAAGTGCAAACTTCATAGTTTAAATAGAATAGTACCTAATTGAGCAATAAAAAGCTAAGCTATCTATCCTTTTCCAGCAGGAAATTCTCCCAAGATGTTTTTACTTTAAAGTTGGGCAATGAAATTTTAATCAATGATTGTTGGGTGTTGGTCTCGATTTTACTCAAGCTCTTAACGCAACTGACTAAAAAATGCTATTGAAATTATAAAAATACAAGTGCGAGACATGAATCTGGTTGGCACACACAGGATTCCGTATCATAACAGTTTATTTTTTAATTTACATGGCTGCCGGTTTGAATTTCGCCATCTTGTTTTCTTGCTCTCTACATCTTACGGTTCATGAGATACAGCCCGCTGACAGACACAGACAGACGGACAGCGGAGACTTAATAATAGCCAACAGGGTCCCGTTGGCACCCGTCGGGTACGGAACCCTAATATGTACTCATTAAATGCAACACAACCACTATTTTTAGTTTTTTTTTACATGGGTATTTAAATAAATTAACAACACACGTAAAGAAAATTACTCTAAATTACGTCGCAAAAGATGTAGTCTATCAAGAACATCGACTTCTTGACTCTTGCCCAGTTTTAAACTAACATATACATTAGGTACTTGTTTTCATTTTTCAACAGATGTTTTGTAAACACGTGATGTTAAATCATTACGTAGAAAAACAATAAAGATACATTTTGCTGTGGATCAATTGTTTAGGAATTCTACAAATGTTTCTTTGAAAAAACAACAGCGCAGGCTTCCGCTGGAATTTAGGGAATCAAAATTATATCCAAATAAAATAGCCATGACTTTATTTTATGACTCCTGTTTAAAATACATATTTTAAATTCCATTGAATAAAATTCATGTTTTGATAAAACGTACAAATATTACTTTTAAAAAAGTGTAATCAGCACTTAAAATAGTTTTAAAAAACAATGATTTACGTGTTGTGTACCTACATAAAATATAGAAAACAAATAGTTGTAGAAATTTTTGTCTGCATATCTGTGTGCATTACACACAAGTATTTTCCGACGTCAAATGAAGTGGCTCCCTATTCGTTTTCGCCGAAACGTTCGAGTATTATGTGTACTTTACAATATTTTGAAAACTTAAAGAGCTTTTCGACATACTCAAGGCCATAGTGATTGCGACATCTGACGGGAGAAAACGAAAAATTCTTCCCCATTCTACCCCCAATCTAAGAAAAAAATAGCAGTCATAAGGACTGTCGATAGAAGTGAAAACTTAAAACTATAAACAAACAGTTGTTATTTTTGTATATTGACATTAATTGTTTGATCTTAAATTAAAACTTCTTGTGTTTTGTTTTTGACATCGGCACACTGAGTGTTAACAGTTAACACATCACGTGATCATGTCGATGATGACTTATATGAATTTACTAATTATCCCCATCATAACCTGCCTATAGAAGTTTTCACATCAAAAAAAAAATTTTTCGCTCTACCCTACTATGGAAGCCCTGTAGAGTTCCTAGTAAATAATAATTCATTACAACTTCATAGCATCAAACATTACAAGCTTAGAACTTAGCGTATTTACATACTATTAGATATTTATTGTGAACCCCGTAAACCCCGGGAGAAGAAATGGGTGTAAAAGTTTATATGATTTTTCTGTTTGTCCGGGGTAATTTAACTATACAGATTGCCTAAATTGATTCTAAAAGATTTAATAGGTACAAAAAATATTTGTTTAGGAGGAGATTTCAAAGATAGCCTATTTATTAACAGTGTAAAAAAGGATTTTCATGAGATATGAGGATAAAAGATTGAAAATCCCATTAGATACGCATTGGAAACCGGAAATAAAAAATAAACATGTTATCATTATAAGAAAAGAAAGATAAGTGTATAGATTAAAGCTGCAGTCAAAGGTCACATGTAGTGTTTATAGACTAACTTGAATTATTACAAACGCGATTAAAGCTGTAGCTAGTAAGAAAGTCATGAGAGTGGGCAGGCGCGGATCCAGAGTTAAATTTTGGGGGGGGTCATAGGCTGAAATATACATATAATAGAACAGTAACTTATTTTTTTAATTTCTGGCATGTTGTGACACCTTATCGAAAAATACTTATTCTTTATATAAATTTCCTCCAAATCTGTCCAGTGGTTTTCTCGTGATGCGGTAACAGACAGACAGACAAAAATTCTAAAAACTATAGATTCCGACTCTGTATCGATAAAAATGTCTATTTCAATTAGATTTTCCAAAAAATGTTTAATGTACAGATTCGACTTAGTTAAAATTTTATTACATGTATATAGATTTCTGCAAAAACTTTTTGATATTCATGAAACTAGGGGAATATCTTCAAAATACATATAATAACCATTTTTTTTAAATCGAAATGTTTATCTGTTTATTCATTCCTTTCTTAGACTTCAAACTTCTCTAAAAAGTATATTTGGCTTGGGGGGGGGGGGGTCATGACCCCCATGACCCCCCTCTGGATCCGCGTTTGAGAGTGGGTTGGATCTTGGAAATACTGGAGAAATCAGCTTATTCCCCTGAACTTAAAGTAAATAATATATATTGATACTGAATTACACTTTTTGATAGGAAAAGATGTTCTAAAAATCCATTTTTATTGAAAACAAATAGAATTCAGTATCTCATTTTCCTAAAATTGATTTTAGTTAACTCTTAAATCTCCATGAAATATTTGAACACGTATACCAATACGAGTAGGTATTTGAATATACCATTTTATTGTTACGAGGCGCAGGCGACAGCTGAGGATTCCTATCACTGGATGTTTATAATCAAGCTCCGGTTGCATCGTTAGCCGGCGACGGTCGGCACCACCAGTTAGTTGGTCTCTGGTAACTCTTGCATTCGCAAGTGAAGTGAATAATTAGCATCATTTGTACATTCAATTTTAAAGTTTCTCTTTTTTTCATTAGTTTAAAAAAAGACGGATTTAACTTTGCAGTTATTATATAAATTTACCGCAAGTGTTTATTGGATGGTTAAAGCTTTTATTTTTGTGATTTGGGTAAGCTTTTTTCTATAAATTATATTGCAACGACTAAAATGAATGTTACCTTATGTACTCGTATAATCAAAGGCTTGGAAACCTATTCAATTTTTAAACCGGTTTTGGACATTGATCCCAAACCGAAACGCTTATAGGTTTATTAAGGGTTCGGTTACGTTATTTAACCGGTTAAAACCAGGAAAACAGTTTTTGAAGAATTTAGGTGCCATGACCGAAATTTAGTTAGTTCAAATGAGTTTTTGTGTGTTTACATTTGGCGAATCTTTACTAATGGTTAATTGCTTAGTAGAAGAATATTTATGTATGTTTCTTATGAATGAATTACCCGGTTTATTTCGGTATCAAACGTAACTCTAACCTTTCTCTAAGAATAGCTGTTAACTATTACTATTTCGTTTTTTCGTTTTCGTTAACTTACCGTTCACCGGGTAATAAACGGTTGATGAATTAACCATTGCATTACAAAAATCAGCAGTTTTTACTTTTTCCTTGTTCCGAGCACTGGTTTAAATACTACTTTAATTTTATAAAATATGAAAGGTACCCGCCGCTCTGAGTTTGCGTTTGTTCAGGTTAACCTCAGAATTTACTGCATGGATTTTCATGCGATTTTTAATAGTATAAAGAGGGGTTTTAGGCATAGGCTCCCTATAGTAGGTATAGTATTTATGAATATTTTGAGAAATACTTATATAATAATGAATTAAGTCGGAAAAATCGTCTCTTCCAGGCGTACACTTACGCGAGGTTTTCTGAGAAAAAATACAAAAACTGCATTTTAAGAGTATACTAATATGTTAAACCTAAGAATTTGGTTTTTGGTCATCTGAACGCGGGCAGAGCCGCGGGCAATGCTAGTTTAACATAAAAAACGTAACTTTCCATGAGGAGGCTCTATAAATACTCATTCAACTAAAATAACATATGGATAGGAGGATGTTGTAATGGCTTTTATAATATGAAATTTTTGAAATAACATGGAATGGAGCATATGCTTTGTGTAATACTTAGATATTAATCGTTTTATACTATTTAATGAAATATAATTTACTTATTTCTTATTTTCAAAAAGTGGTCATAATAAAGAACTTTGATTATTTATTAGTGGCTTACCCTCCCTTCGCTCGAGTGCGTCCCTAGGTACTTTTTAAATAGTTATGAATACTTATTGCGAGTGTACCTTAGGAGAAACACTTTAAATGCTTTTGCAATTTTTTCTGTAGGTCTTATTAAGACTTACAATTTTCTAATACATTGTTTTTATTTATTTCTTAAGGTTTAGCCGGCGTTAGACATGCTAAGAACGACTCGATAGAACCAGTTACTGTGTTTTCCCGTGGGAATTAAAGAGTTTCCTGTAGTAAATGTTGATCCGATCACTATTTTTTTTTTAAATCGGTTTTGTACTTTTTACGTATAACGCGCACATCGATTTCGCTTAGTTACTGTTATATTATGTGTAGATGATACTCGTATTGGAAAACTTAAGCATCCGAAAACAATATTGTAACTAAGCCGAATCTGTAGGTACATTAAATATTTTTTGGAAAATCTTATTGAAGTAGACATTATTATCGATACAGAGGCCGAATCTATCGTTTTTAGATTTTTTTTCTTTCTATCTGTTACCGCATCACAGAAAAACCACTGGAGGGATATTGATGAAATTTGGTATGGTGATAGCTGGTTATCCGGGTCAACATATAGGATACTTTTTACCTATACTAATATGTAAAACCTAAGAATTTGCTTTTTGGTCACCTGAACGCGGGCGGAGTCGCGGGCAATGCTAGTATCAGTATAAATCTACCTATACGAATAAACGTACACCGTTTACCGAGAATGTAACTGAATGCTAAGTAGAAGACAGTTTTCTATAAACATGGAATTCATTGGCGTAACGCGAGAACTAAAGCACGCTTGACCTTATAACAAAGAGTCGTTACTTTGCAACAGTGAAATATAAAACTGAAGGTTACTTATCCAAAAAAAGTATATTTAAATCGTTGCGGTATAATACGTCTACAATAAAAAAGCGTATACTTAATTATTACTGTGATTTAATTAAAATATTACGTTTTATGTATTGGAACTAAACATACCTATTAGTCGGTAAAGCGAATTAGGTACTATCTCCGAGAGTATTAATTAATAAAACTTAGGTTTTATATTAAACTCCCATGTTATTTTATAATAAATAGTTTCGGCAAAATGTAAGACAAAGGATGTTTCCTGGCTTTTTTCAGTTTTAATTTTCCTTTAAAATAATGTCATTTTAGCAGTGAATAGTAAGTACTGTGTATATTAAGCTTCTCAAGGCTTGAATAATTTTAATTCTTAATTTTGATGTCCTCAAAAAAATTGTAATCAAGCTAATTATATGAAAAAAAAAGACTAGAAGAAAAATATATAATTATAATAGAAGATACATTTTATATGAAGTTAAACTGTTCGTAAGAATGTTTCATAGCAAACACAGTAGTGTGCAATGCTAAGTTGATATATGCATGTACTTACTTTGTTTGTTCTGGAACATTCTTCTAGCATCGATCCCGGAAACCCAAGAACTTTGTGCAAGAAGGATTTAGGCCAATGTATGAACAACAGGAATGTTATGTACAGTATATAATTAATTCTATATGTAACGTTTTTGTTGTCTTAAATTGCCCTCCAACCATCATTGGGGCAAAGTTATTTTTTATATTAGCAAAAACAATTACACTTAATTGTATAATATGTGTATTTAAGTATTTTTAAATAAAATAAAAGAATGTATAAAGTTGACTTTTATTAATATATTATAATAATACAGTTAAATACACGTCCACGTTCTTTCATATAGTTAATCCAAAAGCTACGTCAAGAGTTAATGAATGTAAACTTATACTATTTATATATTAGACTAAATTTACCATGTCATGGAAATGAAATAATTTATTTTATGACATTATAGAAATATAATTAAAATATCAATATATAAAAAAAAATATCAAATAAATGCTATGATAATGGCCGTTAATTAATAAAAATAAAATAATTTATTTTATCATAATATTTAAAAAAATATATAATAAACCATGACAGCCTCTGTAACGCTATAAAATGAATTTAATGATTCATACATTTTTGTGACACTGGCAACAAAAAAAATTTAGGCAAGACGACATTTTTCATTGTAAGGGTAATTACACACATATGTATAAGGTAAATAATATTTGTATTTTCTTATTAAATTATATAATTTTTTTTATCGGTATCAATTATGTGTTAGAGCATTAAAAAAATATAAGTACATATAATTTAAAATACTTTTACTATTAGATATAAAAATATCTGTAATATGTGTTTTATATTCGCAACGTAACAAAATGATAAAATAAGTTATATTTACTGAAACTGTAGTAGCAAGATTTATGTGTAATTACCTTACCCTACCCTTTGTGTAATTAACCTAGTGTTAGGCTATCAAAATATTCACATTAATATGAACAATTGATTGAAAAATATATCTGTAATCAAAAGATATTATCTTACGTTTAGATCTTTAAGCTTTTTTTAAACAAATAAAGGTAATATTAGTTAGTTAATAGTAATAAACTTCTCTTTTTAATAAATTGACTACAAAATTTCAGGAACTAAGGGCGATCTTTAATTTTAAATTTAAATAATATTGTATATATTTTCTGTTGATTTGTCCAAATGCACTAAAGTTTCAAATTTTTAAAATTGCATATAATAAGTTTTAATTTTATGAGAGAATCAACTCTATTTTGGTCTAAATCAGTTCATTTTGTTTGACTAATTATCATCTATCGAAATATTTTAGGCACTGCTTTGGGCAGCGGTCGGATCATGCTTTCGTCCTGATATTCAAGGTCACAGGGCTTTATTAATTCTTGGCCTCCTTGATGAATCCATTTGTTGCTTACTGAAATAATAGAAATATTTATAATTTTTATAAGATGTTTTTTTAGGTTTTAATAACATCATCTTTACATATTATATAATACGAAGTCGCTTAGATCTTTTAAACCACTCAACGGATTTTAATGCAGTTTTCAAGTTTTCGGCAATAGATAGAGTGATTCAAGAGGAAGGTTTATATGTATAATACATGCATATTTTAATACAGAAAAGTATTAAAATATGCATACATGTTGTATTTCGTACTAACCGTTAATTATATAAATAAATGGAAACTGTAGTCATCAAATATATATATATATAACGAATTGAAGCAAACTAAACAGATGAATGAGTTTGAATGAAAATAATACGCAACAATGTTTTACCTCGCTGATAATGCGTACCTATTGGACGCACTATATGTACATAGTGAACATGGGTATATGAAATGAGTTTATGAAATGCATAGATCCTAAGTATGAGTGAGTGTAAGTAAGTGTGAATACGTGTAAGTTACGAAGAACTAAGTATAAGTGTAACAAAAGCAGTGGTAGCGTAATGGTAACGCGCTCGCTTGGGAAACCAAGTGCAGCGGGTCCAAATCCCGTCCGCATCATGTATCCGAATCATTTTCCAACATGATTACAACTTGTCTTACGATGAAGGAAACATCGTGACTAAAACCTGTATGTTTGAGAGAACTTCGCAATTTTTTGAAAGACATGTGAAGTCCGCGAATCTGCACTTGGCCAACTTGGTGGAATATGGCATGATCCCCTTCGTATTGAAGGGAGGTCCGTGCACAGCAGTGGGACGTAAAAAAGGGTTGAATACAAGCGTAACGTCGTGTGTCATGTATGCCCAAACCAGCGCTGCCAGTCGGCGGGTAATTTTTGTTAATTTTTGATAGCGGGTAATTTTGACAGGTATTCTCATCAAGCGAGGTCGAAGCAGGTATTTTAGTCTAGCTGATTAATTTGATATTTTAAGTATTTTTTTAAATTTGATTTAATAATTTATCGGTCGGGTCGGGTAAACGAAGGAGTGTCCCTGCTACCGGCAGGCGCGGGCACACGCACCCCACTTGGAGCCGCGCAGCACGGGGCAGGCGGCGTGGCGCGTGGCGAGGTCGCCCTCGCCGGACGCGTGCAGGTTGAGCCAGTAGGCGGCGGCGCGGCGCCGCGGGAACAGGCTCAGCCCCAGCTCCGTGAACACCGTCGCGCCGCCCTGCGCCACGTCCGACATCTGCCCCACCCAGACAACAAAACAAATATATATATATGTACATTCTATATATGAATACAATATAAAGAAAAAACAGTTATTATATCCAAATATTTAAATTAATTGTTTCATCTTAAATTAAAATTTGTAAATTAAAACTGTTTACATTTATCTAGTTTTGATATGTATTGAGTGTTAGCGTTAACACGTCACGTGACCATGTCGATGACGACTAACATGAATTTACTCTCCATCCAAACCCGCCTATAGTTTTCACTTCAAAAAAATTGGACAAAAACGAATCGGATTCGTACGTCGGGGATCCCATATCATTAACTAATTAATTGTATATTTAGGTTTAACAGACTTATTTGTTACGTTAATAGTACCACCACCTATATCTTTTGTAATTTGACTACCAAGTTTTTTGCTGAATGCATCTCTTGACAGAAATCCCCAATAACTACACTAAGCCTGACCCGGGGGACTCGAATCTAGGACCTTTGGATCAGCAGTAAATATGTACGGCTAGCCAATTTAATTATTAGATACTATTGGCAGATTCACCTATATTAAAGGTACACAATAAGCTAAAATTTAGAACTCCTTTACAGCGAGCCTTTTAAATTGTATAAAATAAAGTGGTCACGTTGCGTACATTTAACTCAAGGATAAAAAAATGTAAGTAAACATTAAAGTGTTATTAAAAGTATTTAGCTACATCTTTAAATATTCGATCATCACTATTACCTCGTTTTTGTCTACAGCTGAACGAATGCCTTACACATGGTACATACTTAAAAAGTACTTTTTTTATGTTTAGTGAGATTTAGATTAGTTTGTTTTTTTATTTGTATTGTTTTTTAGTTGTTCGCTTTTTCCTTCATGCTCACCTATGTAAATATAATAAAATATTTTTCTATACTTATACTATGACTAAATCGCAATACTTACATAAAACAAAACGGTAGCTATTCTATTGCCGTTGAAGTTTCCAAAAGCGTTTTCTTGTTTCTGTAATAATAGTAAAACATTTAATCATATAACTCAAAATATGGTATAACTTTCTTTTTAAATAGTATTCATTTAAATAATGCAGAATTGGATAAAAAGTACTAATTGAAATCCTTTAAAACAGTTAAAACTTGAACTTATTCAATATTTTTTTATGCTTCTGTTAATGTATTCAGCCATTTTTTTAAGGTCCCACAGCTGGGCACGGGCCTCCCTTTATAGCGTCCTGCCGACCGATGTCGGCCTCGGCGCCCGACCTCACAGATGCGCAGGAGATATCACGCTACACTCTCTCTCACTCGACAAGCGCCCACAAACACAAGCGTGAACAGGGTGTTGGCTTGGCTTGCGTGAGCTTGTGGCGTATTTATTCGTTGGTGCGTGTTTAGTGTCGCTCTCGCTCACGAGCTCATATTGTCTATTTCAATGTGATTTTCAAAAAAATATTTTATGTACAGATTCGGCTTAGTTACAATTTTGTTATAAATGTATAGATAACCTGTGGTCAAAATTCGACCAACAAGGTTACACATAAATGAAGGTAATATTGTTATACTGTCATATTATGTATAACAAAACAAGTACATTTGTTGTTTGTGCCATCTTAAATATAAAATATTACTTATATAATATCATAATACTTTCTTAGATTTACGCGAATATTTGACATTTTAAATAAAACTATCTTTTCGGATTTTGTCGCGGATTTATTTGTATTTTTGTTTCCCGACGTTTCGAATGCTTTACAGCATCCATGGTCACGGAAGAGACTGAGGTGTTACATGTCTTAAAGATATAGTTGTTACAGACAGCCTACCCACAATTAACAAAATGAAAATTGCACCAATTACATTACAATATTTTAACTTTAAATATTTTTATAATTTTATTTATAATTGAATATGGAAAATTATTTATTTAATTTTTGCTATTATTTTTATAATTATTACAATTTTAAAAAATATTAATTAGCAATCTATATTTAGTGTTGCCATTATTATATTTATAACCATAAGAAAAATATAAAATATAGTATTAATTATTTAAGCCACAATTGATCTATGTGTAATTTGAAAAAGTTAAGATTAATTAAAAAATAATAATTTAAATTTAAATTTGCTATTATTTAAAAAACAAATTATTAAGCAACACATTACTACATACATTTACAAATGAAAAAGTGAAAAAATATTATTAATAAGTGAAAAATTATAAATATAATAATGGCAACACTAAATATAGATTGCTAATTAATATTTTTTAAAATTGTAATAATTATAAAAATAATAGCAAAAATTAAATAAATAATTTTCCATATTCAATTATAATTAAAATTATAAAAATATTTAAAGTTAAAATATTGTAATGTAATTGGTGCAATTTTCATTTTGTTAATTGTGGGTAGGCTGTCTGTAACAACTATATCTTTAAGACATGTAACACCTCAGTCTCTCCCGTGACCATGGATGCTGTAAAGCATTCGAAACGTCGGGAAACAAAAATACAAATAAATCCGCGACAAAATCCGAAAAGATAGTTTTATTTAAAATATATAATATCATTTTATTGTGTGCATGTACTTTAGGGTCTTTTAAATTTTATAAATTTTCTTCCTTTTCATAAGAAGTACCAAAGTTACTATACGGTGCAACTGTGACGCCTCGTTCCCAATTTATAATATAAGAATGTAAAACGTAATAATAATATAATATTTTTTTATTAATAATGTCTTTCTGACTGTTTCGGCTATAGTTGGCCAATGATACTAGCGTGAGACAATAATGCACAAGTATACGCGCAAACATAAGTTTAAAATTCCTTTCAAACCTAATTTTGAAGTTAATTGAAACTTAATCGGGTTTTTGGGGCTTACTTTTTGGGGCTTACTTTTTATGACCCGAGTTTGGACTCGAATCCATGACCTCAGACCTGCACCTCTACATACTAAACACACCGAGACCCTTAAACATAACAATTAACAAAAAAAGAAAATACTTACTCTTGCAAAATCAAAATGGGGTTCATAGTGGCCTCCAATCCCATAGTTAACAACCTGAAGTTCCTCCGCTGAGGCCATACTGAGCCCTGTGAAGTCAGCCACACGTCGCGACACGCGCGCCACCACCTCAGACTCTTCATCCTTCAGCCACCCCGACTTGCTTATACGGTAATGTGCAGGGACCAGTTCCCCGGTCTTGGGGTCGTGGACTGTTGCTCTGCGGAACTAAAAATAAATATGTTGGGACATTAACACAGCACCATCTCGTTCCATGGTTATACATGGTTATATATATATATATATATATATATATATATATATATATATATATATATATATATATATATATAGCTACGGGGCCTGTGTTATGGATACCAGATAGTTGATACACTACACATATATAACTTTAAATGATGTTCTCCTGACCGATTCCGGCCACAGCGGCCAATCTCATTGAGACTAGCCAACTGCGCAGGAGATATTATAGTGCACAAGTGTACGCGCAGACACAAGTGCACTCTCTATTCCTGTCACTCTCATACTCCGGTGGGACGACCACTCGACACGACCAGTGAGAGTTAAGGCGCAGGACCGACGGCTTTACGTGCTCTCCGAGGCACGGGGGTGAAACACCGCCTATACAGAAAGACTCAATAACTAAACTTGGCCCGACCCGGGACTCGAACCCAGGACCTCCGGGTGTGTAGCCGTACATGCTAGCCACTACACCACCGAGGCAGTAGTAACTTTAAATACATACATATTATATATATAAACACCCATGTCTGAAGTACAAATATTCGTGCTCATCACACAAATGAATGCCCCCAGCGTAACTCGAACCCGCGACCGCTGGCACAGCAAGTAGTGTCACTAGAAACTGAGCCAAACGTGTCGTCAAACTAAACTGGAATTATTTATTTCGATTTGTTTTTTAAATGTAGCCATTATTATGTAGAGCGTTATAATAACTTGTTATTTTTTACACGCTTTACTGTACTCGTCGCTCTCTTGTAGATTTATCATTTATTTTTCAGTCTTCAACAGAAGACAATCAAATAGAAAATCAATAGATATGGAAAAATTTCAATAGATCTTTGAAACCAAATTTTTACAATAATTTAATTTACGAAGTCTAGCATTAAAGACAGTATTAATTTTTATTATTACTGCTTAAATCTTTTTAAATTTAATTTCCAGACTTCATTAGTTAATATAAAGTAAAGGGAAACTCGCCGTGCAACTAACTACCCAGACGAAGTATAGCGGGAGTAGACATATTATATAGGACACTATATATAACGTTTACATTTATTGTGAACTAAAGTTACAATGATTTTTTAATATAAATTTATAATGGAAGAAAAGAACCTTTTGTATCTAAAAATGTTAATGGATTTAGTTTTTGAGATCACGCACACAAATAATATATTTACGACTATAAAAAGTAAGTTTTAACGATAAGAACAAAAGATCATGAAACTGATAGCGGCGTTTTTAAAATCAATGTACATAATAATATATATTTGTACATTTGTTTAAAAATTATGATTTTTTGGATTTTAAAATTATAGAAAAAATATAGCTTACCCTAGGTTTAGCCAAATCTTTAATATGTTCGATTTCATTATCACTGATAACATCGTGAAATATAATGATATCGGGTTTTAGGTACATATACTCCATTTTGATCGGAGCCAGCTTGAGAAATGGATGGTTTTCAGTTAAATATCGACATTTCAATCTGTAAATATATGAAGGAATTAGGATACTTAATAATATTCTAGTTTATTAAACATATTATTAATGCTTTGCTTTTTTTGTTTTATGGAATTATATATATAATATATAAACAAAGCAAAAAGGTTGACATAAAAGTATGTATTCATCATTTTCCATTTATATATTAAAGCATTTAATTTGATTTTGTTAGTCATTAATATTCATTGATTTTAACTACCTTAAAACTAGTGAATATTAATTTTATGCACATAATATCTGTTGCAACTATTTTTAAGATGTTCCTTTATAAATAATAATATACTTAATATTTGCCATTTTTTTTGTTATTTTTCTGCTTAAATACCATTTTTTTTATATTTATATAATACTAACTTGTTCGATATTTCACTAGGAATCTCCATTTCACCGCGACATAGGGCTTCATATACTTTTCTTTCTTTCGCATAACCGGTTAATTCTTCTGGTTTTTCTTCCGGGAAAAATTCTAAATCGTCTTCTCCTGTATCCTAATAAATGAAAATATTCCTAAAATTAATTTACATTTACTTTTTCTTTAAATTAAAAATCTTATAATAATATAGGTATATATAAATTTATTTTGTGTATGATTCGGATCAAATTTTGTATTTAGATATTTCATTTCTGAAAAATGCAATTTTCATATCATTTTGGAAAAAAAAAACGGAGCGAAGCTCGGTCGTCCAGGCATAGAAGGCAAATATAAATTATCTATAACATTATTTAACTTCAACTATGAAGTATAGTATGAGTAGTATAAGTATGATAAATATGAATAAGTATGAATTTAAATAGAATAAAAATTTACACACACCCCGCGTCTTCTCTTCATCAATTTTGCTTCCCTTTCAGCCAGAGTTTTTTCATAATGTGGTATATTTCCAAGGGCTCGAACATGTTTTGGATCTACGGATAACAGTTCCCTTGTCCATTCAAGAGCGCTCTTTACGTCGTCTGTAGAATTACAAAGAAACGTGAGTAACTTCTATAATATCTTAGTGAAGTAAAAAAATCTTAGTGAAGTCAAATATAAGAATATAAAAACGGTGTTGTAATAAATAATATTTTTCAGAATAGATTACGATTTCTTTTTAATTTTGATTTTTTTGATGTAATCTTTCGAGTTCTTGCGAGGTTAAAGGACTTTTTATATTTAAATACATGTGAAATTTAGTAAGTCAATAGCAGCACAATCTTTTTAGTCAATAAGGTACATAGTTTATCACTCGATTTCTCACCTTCATTTCAAAATAGTTCTTTAAAAAATTATTAAGTACATTAATTACATATAATTATACATTTTTTTGCAGTTCAAGCCTATATATAATAAAAAAAATTGAAATGAGCAAAAAATTCAACAACTTACCTAACAAGTAATGAGAAAAGCCGATGTACTCTAAAATATCGACCTCTGTGAAGGGATACTCTAGATTTTCGTCGTGATACTTCCGAAGGGCCACCATCATCCACGCGAGCGCGTTTTTATAGTCCTTTTCATTGTATAGTGCTTTACCCAATTCGTAACAGTCTCCCGCGCTCATTGATGTACTGTAAAAAATATTACGATACTTAAAACTATTTGATCAATTTCAAAAAAAGGAGGTTCTATGTTTGACACGTACTCGTAGATAGGTATACATTTTTTATGCAAATATTCACCGCTCTCTCGGACACCACTTGGCTGATTAGTTTAAATTGTATTATTATAAAGTAGATTATGAGGTGACGTATTTTTATTTTTTTACATAGAGCATATCATCGAGAATAAAGTAGTACGGAGACCGTGCGCGAAATGTAGAGGGCAGCACTATTGTCCCCCTAGTGTTTTATTCACGAATATAGCGGAGTCAAAACATTCATTTGTAAACACAGAATATTTATAAAACTGGAAAAAATCATAAAATATGGATTTCAACCACTTATTGATAATATTCTATATGGTCAGAATGGTGAGAAAAGTAAAAAAATATTTAAGTCCAACCATGTCTATGTTGTTGTATCACAAACGAGTGTGATAAATGTTTGTGATGTGAAAATAATGTAATACAATAAAAATACTTAGTGTAATGAAATAAAAAAACAACATTTTTTTCTTGACGCTGACATTATTGAAAAATGATCCCAATAAATTCAGGTTTTTGCCACGAGTTGGCGTAAAAGTCTAGAGTCGGTCCCTATAAAAATTATAAAAACATAAATTATAAGTACGATTACGTAAACAAGTTTTGACCTATTTCTAATTGATATGTTCACTTTAAATTTCGCAAGAGGGTATATTATGTGTTTCCGTAACAGTGCGATAGCTTGTTATCAACAAGCTGATTTGACGATGCATCCAGAAGATGGATAGTGATACTCTTTAATGGCTCAATAAATACTAGTAAACTCTTCAAGTTTGAAATTATTTGGTTCGTTTTGACGAGATCAATAAGTTAGTCTTGAGTTTGAGCTTTTAAGGGCCTTCCTTATGTAAGTACATATTCAGTTTCTTAGTAAAATATAACTAAAAAAGCTTCCGAGAAAAGAGTGAACTTATATAAAAATACCCTTTACGTCAAACATAGTACCCCTTCCGTCTTTGAGGTCGGTTAAAATATAGAATTCAACTACAAATTAACTTAAGAAGTTGCTACCATTACCTATTATATCCGAGACAATATTAAAAGTAAATATATAAAATAAATATAAAAATATCTATATCGTTTATTTTTTGAAAAATTATAATTTTTCCAAGCTTCTTCAGAGACTAAACCATCGTGGATATGTTTGTGCAAACATACACATAATGTATTATGATGTATGTATATCTATCAATTTTAGTATCCCATCACCAGAAAACAACACATAAAACGAAATGATGTCATTAATCATGCCAGATGATGTGATATAGAAACCTTAAAGACTTACGACACGGCTATCCATTGATCTTCACTGAAAAAAGGACATTTAAAGGATGATCCGGTAAGTTTCGTATGCAAAGCAAATAGAAAAAAAAATTTATTAATATTATAATTCTGGTTATTATTTTTGACTTATTAATACTATAAAAGAACCATTTTTTCAAAAGTAATTGTTCGACTACTTACGGTATATATGGTATATCGTCTCTGTAAAAGCATATTTTAAATATCTTAATATTTGTATTTAATGTTGGGTAAAATTATTTAAAATTAAAACTTTAAAAACGACAATATTTTAATACACCGACTTATGCTTAATTAAAAAAAAAACTCGAGTCCTGTTTACCCGAGGAATGACCTCTGTGGCGTGATAAATATACATAAATTTTATGTTTTATTATTTCGATAAGTTTTTGTAAAAGGTCTTAGGCAGTGGTAGCCCAGTGGTAACGCGCTCATTTGGGAAAACGAGTGACGCGGGTTCAAGTCCCGGTGCAGCATTTCTGATATTCTCATGTATAAGAAAATGATAACTTCCAACATGATTACCACTTGTTTTATGGCAAAGTATAACATCGTGAGAAAACAATATGTAAAGTCCGCTAACCCGCACTTGGCCAACGTGGAGCACAGCTACTAAAAAGACCGGAACGAGGTGCATATATAAAAAAGTCTCATATAATTATGGAACAAAAAAATACTAGTTCAATTTTTTTATTTTTCATAAAACATATGTACCTCATAAAGTATATATTTTAAATATATACTTAGGATATAAATGATCCAGTAAACAAAAGTAAAATAGTTCATTTACCTGTAAATAACCCCGTTGAGTCTTCCTTCTGCAAGATCGCCGACTTCAAGATGATACGTCTCTTGTAGCCGCGTCAGCGCTTGGGCCGCGCCCGCGAGGTCCTCTAAAGTCGGGTATTTTACGTCCGCGTGGTTATTTAGTATTGTTATATTCTTTATGTATTCTGGAATTAAAAAACATACACCTACAGGTAAATTTCTAAGAAATCTATTGTTAACTGTAACGCCGGCCTGTCCGCGGGCGTGAAGGGATTAAGATATCATTTTTTAATTATTAGTATATTAGTAAGTGTTTCTTGTATATGAGTAATAATATTAGACCAATCGGAATCCGTTTATTTTTAAGAGAAAAATATATATATATTGAAAACCTGAAGTTTTATGATTTTAAAATGTTAGCAGGTATATAAGGAATAGAATTTTGTGCAATGCCCCACATGCCCAGCTTTTCCCGAGAAATGGGGGGACACGCAAAGTGTTGAAACATAGTTGTTTTCCATTTCCGGCTTGCTGTGATGTTCTATCGAAAAATGTTTTCTACAAAAGTTGTAGATCTAGTAAAAATCTACAACTTTTATAAATAACAGTTTTTATACTTTCAAAAAATAGAGTTCAAGATGAAAAGAATAAGCCTATGTAAATATTGAACGATTTTTTTTTAATGTAAACGCCAACTTGAAGTTGGGAGTGATTTTCAGCCTATCGATACCATAAAACATACTTTTCTCGGTAATGGCTAAACATTTCCATTTCATTATTTTTTATTTATTATATGTATTTCGAAAATTACATGCCCTTAGTTTCATGGAAATCAAAAGATTATTCTAGAAATTAAAAATAAAAAACCACAAAACAGTTAAAAAGCGAGTTTTTTGCAAATATCTCGAAAACTTGAGGTTATTGTAAAAAGTGTTATTTATAAAAGTTGTAGATTTTTACTGGACCTACAACTTTTGTAGAAAATATTTTTTGATAGAACGTCACAGTAAGCCGGAAATTGAAAAATCTATTTTTCAACGTTTTGCATGTCCCCCCATTTCTCGGGAGTAGCTGGGCATGTGGGGCATTTTACGAATTTCTATTCCTTATATACCTGCTAACATTTTAAAATCATAAAACTTCAGGTGTTTAATATTTTGTTCCCAAACCGGATTCCGATTGGACTATATAGGTTTTGATAATATTGGACAAGGACATAGATAGCACCACGGGGATTCTTTTTATGCAAAACCCGTTTACTATGCAAGCAGAACCTCGTGCCTTTAGTGAAACTATAAATAGCATAAAAATACTAGTCTATCAGTTCATGTCGTATACCTAAATGTCGCTAACGTTTAATCTGAATAATTGTTTAATAAAGTAAATATTGTAAATCAATATGCTGGAACAATTATTTTTATACAAGCTCACCCAATAGACGTTAGGTACCAGGTCGTCGTATAGGTAGGACATTAGGTGCTTCAAATTTAAATACACTGGCTACCAGGTAAGGGGTTAATTTTTTGTAATTGTGAATTTAACAATGATTGTCTTTTGCCACAAATGTATTTATTTAAATAACTAGCATTGTCCGCGGCTCCGCACGCGTTCCGATGACCAAAAAGCAAATTCTTAGGTTTTACATATTCGTATACTCTTACAATGCAGTTTTTGTATTTTTTTTCTCAGAAATGAGATAGTTTCCCGTGGTAAAAAGTACCCTATATGTTGATCCGGATCACCATACCAAATTTCATCAAAATCACTCCAGTGGTTTTTTCTGTGATGCGGTAACAGACAGACAGACAGACAAAAATTCTAAAAACGATAGATTCAGCCTTTGTATCGATAATAATGTCTATTTTAATAAGATTTTCCAAAAAATATTTAATGTACAGATTCCGCTTAGTTACAATTTTATTATATGTATCTATAGATTACCGATTCTTTTGCCATATTCTACACTTTATCCTTATTTTATCTCGTCGTGTTTCAAAATGTAATATTATATCTCATTTTGTTATTAATTAGATCTCTGAGATATCGCAGAAAATGCCGTCAAGGTATATAATAAAATCTGAAAATTAACTATAATCATGTATGATACTTTTGAATATAACATAGAAAATATTTAAAAGTAAATTTAATCCAAGAACACGTACCTACATACTACTTAATTACTATACATATAACGCAACATTTCGTGATCTATGCTCAAAATTCTAGTGTAGTGTTTTAAACTTGTTCATTGAATATTTTATTAAAATTTTTGAAGTCGAGTCAAACAAAATTTTTACTACAACGCACTACTAATCGCTGAATTCGATCGAAAAAAGTAATTCTAATGTACGAGGGTGTTGCAATTAAAGCATGTACTTACTACAAGTACCTACCTACTACTTATACAAAAAAACTACCAATATTGATTTTGTCCTTGCATGATTATTATTTATTACCTAAAACTAAGGTCTAACATTTAGAAGCCAATTTTAATATTATAAATGTGAAAGTTTGGATGAATGTTTGTTACACAATTCCGCCAGAACGGCGGAGGGATCTGGATGAAATTTGGCGCAGAGATAGATTATAGTCTGGAATAGTTCATAGGTTACCTACTTTTTACTTCGGAAAAATGAACAGTTCCCGTGGGATAGATTGTTTTGGTTTTACACTAAGGACGATCCCGAAGCGAGGATGAGTCGCTAGCTTTTTATAACATTACATATATTTTATAGTTACGGGAGTTAGAAGTTCAAGATAAAATTAAAATCGGCTTTAATAATTTTATGGCATAGCTATCGGTGAAGATAGTAAAAGCTTGTCGAAAATATATATTTATTGTCACGAAAGTTTAATGCAATAACATAAAATTAATTTATAAAAACCAATAATAAATCGGACATAAAGTGCTAAAATTGCATGATTTTGTAATAATACATTTCGTGATGCACGTTTGTATTTAGGTACTTCACAATGATAGAGATTTGGGTAGGTATTATGTAAACTCTGAAGCAACCACACGACAAGCTCGAGAAATAAGCACCTAATGATTGAAGTGTTAATGTCTATAAGTGATCGATGTCGTAATATTTATTCCAATTCGACCGTACAAATAAGTATGATCTATGCTAATTTTAAACGCAGCTTGTTTTTAACAATACCTACTAAACATTTTCATGACGATGTTGTATGCGCTGCGTTTAAAGTACATATTTAAAGCTTCAGCGTACCTAATATCGATTTGTTTTGTGTTTATTATTTTACACACCATTTGTATCACATCCAGCATAAAAACCCACTTACTTACACACAGTACATATATAGGTAGTATTCACAAAATAAGGACGTCTGTACTTTTTGATCTATACAAATAAATAGAATTGAAGTGTCTGTAGATAACATCAAAATATTAAATAACAGCTTTTTATTAAATGCATATGAAAGTATGTACGGTACTTTAAAGAAAAACAACTTTTAACATTTTTGTGTCTGTCCGTCTGTTTGTTCCGGCTAATCTCCGAAAAGGCTAGGCCGATTTTGACGGGACTTTCGCTGGCAGATAGCTGATATTATAAGGAATAACTTAGGCTACTTTAATTTTATAACAACAATAGGGTTCCGCGCAAAAAAATTAAAACTTATGAATTTGTGAACAAAATCGTACCAAGGGACGCACGTGAGCGAAGCGAGGATAAGTCGCTAGTTAAACTATAAAAAAAACAATTTTCGGTCTGCAATTCTACACCAATACAAATATAAAAGCAGACACATGTTATGTTATATAATATGTATAAAATAATAAACATTCAAATCAACATAAAAAAGAATTATTGTGATAGGTACAAGATTGATACGAAATATGTACGTGGATGCAACATCTTGCAAGAGGTCTTAATAACTTGCATAGTTATGCATTTCCTTTTCAATAATAATGATATTGAAATTACACTGTATTTCGTTTGCGTACCTACGTGAATGATGCATGCCAGTTCCCACACTATTATCTACATCTATCATGACAAAGATTATCAACAAACTTATTTCAATGTTATACAAACACGTATTTTATTAGGCAAAATCGATTTATTTAAAATTTTTAACTAATTCATAAAATTCAATTCAAAAGTAGTAAAAATGGTTGGGTATGTTTTTAAGAGAAATAATATTTTCGTGTGTCAAATCCATACCAATATTATAAATGCAAAAGTAACTCTATCTGTCTGCCTTACTTACATTTCACGCCTAATCCGCTCAATCGATTTAGATAACTAGTGAGATAGTTTGAGACCTGGAAAGGACACAGGATAGTTTTTATCCCTTAAGGAGGTGAAAGGGGAGGGGAGGGGGGAGGGGTTAGAAGTTTGTTTGTGGAATCAATCATTTCTCAAGTAAGAGATATAAAACTCTTCATACCTATGAATATATGTATAGCCTATCTATTCCATACTAAGCGTGAAACATACCTATTGACGAACCCAAGCGAAGGGAGGGTGAGTCGCTAGTTAAAATATAAAATTATTATTTGATCATCGCATTTAAAATTTAAAAGTGTATTGCTGAAGAGATTTAATGAGATTTTTTTTATTTAATACATTAGTTTTGTAAATGAACTTTCAATAAGAAAAATATTCTCACCTGTTCCAGTTTCAATACTTTGTTCTATGAAATCCAAATCCGTTGTCAGTCTCTTTATTAAAGTAAAAGCATTTATTGGATTCCCAAGATAGTTGGGAATATCTTCCATTGCTTTTTCGTGTTCATTTTTGTACGTCACCAAGTGCCTACAAGTAGATGTTAAAATTATATTCTTTCTGTATTCATTCTTATATATAAATTAAAAACTTTTTAACAAAAAAATAAAAACCGACTTCAAACAAAAGCACTAAAAAGTAAAAAATAAGTGATTGGTAGGTTTCATTTACTATACATACCTAATCAAATATTTTCGAAGTCGGTGCTTTGCTTTGTATCGAGTGGCACCGACTTCGAAATTATTTGATTAGGTATGTATAGTAAATGAAACCTACCAATCACTTATTTTTTACTTTTTAGTGCTTTTGTTTGAAGTCGGTTTTTATTTTTTTGTTAAAAAGTTTTTATTTTTCCCTTTTTAGTGTAGACAGTAGTAGCAAAGTAAGAATTCTAACGTGTTAGGCTTGTTAAATCAGACAAAATAAGCCCAAACTCAAAGTATCTACTATCAGCCGTTGAAGAGTTCCACCTATCTACCTTCTGGCCTTACCATCAGATCAGGTCAACAATACCGAACCACTGTACTATCAACGGAAATAGACACACTTGCAAAGTTTCAAGTCAATATGACAATTACAAGTAGTTTAAATTCATCATTAGATATTTTTCTACCCTTAGGGGTGGTATTTTTTTTTTTGAAATTTAAATGGGACCAATCTGGAAGTATACACTTTCAAACAACACAAAAATTGTCCAAATCGGTTAATAAATGACGGAGTTCTGAGGTAACAAACATAAAAAAAAACAGTCGAATTGAGAACCTCCTCCTTTTTGAAGTCGGTTGAAAAAGGAGGTTTTCAATGTTGATTTATGTTAGATTGTGTGTGCTACGTGATATAAACATTGTAATGTGTGACCTGATTTTAATCTATCTGTTTTTTTTAAATAATGGTCCTATCACTTGTATATCTCATCTCTATTTTATATGGCTATGGCACACAAACAGACGGACATGACGAAAATATAGGGCGCTGCCGGCTGCGTAACCCTAAAAATAATCTTATAACTGCTTTTCTTAAAACAAAAACTAGAAGAATTCATTACGTCAGTATTAGATTAAGAATAAAATCAACAAGAATGACTCTACCTAAGGAAGGTCAGAAAATGCAAATGTTAGTTGAAACATAAAGTGTCAAGGTATTTGCTTACAAAAACCAACTCTTAACATTTACGTTGTCTCGAAAATGATTTATAAGTACCTTTACCTAACTAATAACAATATACTCTTGCAATGTATGTAATTTTGTATGCCAATTCTGTGAATAATTGGTGAAATAGAATTCAAATAATTCAATTTTTTCAATACCTAGTTGGTATAATATCTATACCTTTATTTTTTTAGACATGACATAATTTGTTCTTTATAATGATAGAAAATTTGCAAAACATTTATAACGAGTTATTTATTAATAATTATCTTAATAACTACATATAGTAATATGTAGTTTAATTATATTTAGTAAAAAAATATAAAGCCGTTCACCTTTTTAATACTGCAAGTCTGCTCTCCTCTTTATTTATATAATCATCCAAATCATCTATAATCTTCTTGTGCGTCTCTAATAGGGGTTCTACATCCGATATGGCAGTGAATAGTTCCCCTCGCGAACATGTCCATAGATTTAATACGGTGAAACACAAAATAACATATGAAGTTTTCATCGTACGACACATTGTTTTGAGCATAAACTGAAAAGAAAAAAATATGAAAAAATGTTTTTCTTACATAAAATAACCTGGGTATTTGTTCGAGCGGCGCCATGAGTCTCTATCATATAAGCATTGGAAAATAATTTAAAACAAATAACGATATTAGCAGGCAGAGAGTAATAGGAATAATAGGCGCATATTACACACTTAGAAGTATGTATAACTTAAGATATTATAAATGTGATATATTAGTTTTAAGTGAAAGATATTGAGAAGAAGAGAATAACTATGAATTCATCCATGTACAGTATTATTAATAACGTTCCGTTTAGCCCCGCGGTTATCTAGGACACGTTCCTATAAGCGTTTTATTTTTAATTGACTATTCACAATTTTTGATTGAGTTCAACAAAGCTTCGATGTCATCGCGTGACAAAATGAATCTCTTTAAAAGAGGACTTATTCTTATGGTACGACGACGTGGTAAAGTAGAAGTAACTTCTCTTTCCCCTGGCAAATGTGTTTCCTTAATCCATAGGATAGGAACAAAAACGGTTTTAAAAATACGCTAAAAGTAAATTATTATTTATTGAATATGTACGTAAATAGTTGGTACAATCAAAATATTTATAAAATTTTATTTTTATGTTTTTACAAATATGTACCTACATATATCATATATAATGTATAATAAAACATTAATTTACTTACAAAATAATAACCTTTAATTAAATAGATATTGTATTATTTTGTTTATACCTAATATGTATAACTAAGTAGATAAAAGTTCCGGTTGAGTTTATCACGTATACCATTTTAATAGTAGGTAAATGAGTCTCGTCGCACTTACTTTAAAACAACATCTAAGTATGTTACAAAAAAATATAGCCAATAATGTTTTTACTATAGTGACACGATTTTTTAGTTTAATTAGTGTAATACTGATAAATTATACAGTAAAATTATTCTCCAGCTAATGTGTCTATAAACTACATTATTATGTTTGCTAACAAATATCTAACTGGAAACGAATCTTGAAATTTTTAACAGCTTATTTAGTATTTTAGCCTATTTAGTAAAAATATTTCAGTGGACAAAGTTTTAATTTATAAATTAATAAATCTACTAGTTTCAAAAACGAGAGAGTTTACGTGTATATTTTGATTATTTTATAGAGCTTTTTAGTTGGCACTGGTATAGTCTTTACGCATAACATGAAAAAGTCACATGTACCTTACAACATATTATCAGTAAGTATTGTTATATAATATATTTGATAACTTTAAAGCAAAATAATTATAGGTATATAAAAAATTGTCATACGTACCTAGCTCTAATTCATAACCTAAGCTTAACTTACACTATTAAACTATCACGTATCACAAAAATAACAATGATAACCTATATAAATAAGTAAAAAGTTTCAGAATATCAAAATATTGTATTGAATTCGATTTGATCCGATCCGAATAGAGGAAGCTATTCGGCGCGGGCGGTACACGAGCAATGAACACTATGCGCCAGCGCAACACTCAGATCGGGTCAACGGACAAATAACAACTTTGATCAGAAGCTAGCGACAGACCGCTGGCTTTATCAATCGATGTGATGACGATTTTTTAATAATAATTATTTATGTCACAGACGAGCTTTACCATTGATTAATATAACAAACAACTTCCTATCGTAATCAAGCAGGCATATAATTGATACTTTCCATTATAATATTTTTTTAATAACCATATTTATAATCAATAATCATAAATGTATGCTTAATCTTTTCATAAAACAAATAATAATAATAAAAAAAATGTTATGTAACTCGAAGATGCACATTATTGTAAGACATTGTTCACATCTGTAAAACAAATTATTTATGATTTATATGGTGGGTGTTGTGTATAATACGGTGTATAGAATCACATGAATAATATTATAATTCTTATAAATACGAGTGCGACGAATTCTAGCTTATATTCTATAATAGTACATAGGAACTTTCGAAGCATTTGATCGAAGTCGCCAACAATAACTTGTTAATCATAAGTTAGCGAGTCTTAATAAAGTATATATATATATATATATATATATATATATATATATTATATATATTATATATATATATATATATATATATATATATATATATATATAAAATAAAAAGCTGGTAAAGTTTGAAGTGGCGGTTTTACCCAGTATTTTTGCTCTTCTGTAAAATTGAGAATATGTATATACGTTCATCTGACTCTTACACCGCGATATATATAAATATATATATATATATATATATATATATATATATATATATATATATATATTTACTTTTTATTAGTTTTTGGAAACATTAAGAAATAATCTATCGAAATCAAAACCACACATGCAGATATTAAAAAACATGTAAGTACATAGTACATACATATTATGTACCAGTTACCTATGTCTCCGACTACATAATACTATGTTGCTTTGTCAACTTGTTCTCATCTTTTTACGCAGTCGTGTTTTTAATTTTATAAATTACTGTTTTATTTAGAGCTTTTTAATTTTAGTTAGATGTGTTTAGTTTTATTAAACAATTTTTATCCTAAATTATTTTTAAATTAAATTTAAATATATAAGTCGTATATATCTTTATAATTGCCTCTTAAAACCCTGTATTTTGATACCTCACTCGATTGATTCGGACGAAAAACATTTTTTCAAGACAACAAGACACACAAATTGACGCCTTAGTTTAGTCATTTTTATTTTAATGAGATCTACATGCCCTATGACACCCGCTTTTACAAGACGAATTGAACGATGTCTAAACCATCAAAATCGGTTAAGCCATTTAATAATCACGAAGGAACATAGAATCGGACATACGTACAAACATACTTATATACATACATAAAAGTCAAACACATAACCCTCCTTTGGCCTTTAATTTTTGGCCGATAAGCATTTAAGATATGAATACATACATATATAATAGGTAAATATGAACATTAATTACATATAGATAGTTTAAAATATTATACGTCAACTAGCGACTCACCCTCGCTCCTCTCGGCTTCATCCCTACTTCATACTTACGTTTTAACGTTTAGTATAGATTTCTCAGAGATGAGATATTTTCCCTCAGTAAAAAGTATCGTATATGTTGACCCGGATAACCAGCTCATCATCATACCAAATTTCATCAAAATCCCTCCAGTGATTTTTCCGTGATGTGTTAACAGACAGACAGACAAAAAATTCTAAAAACTTTAGATTCGGCCTATGTATCGATAATATTATCTATTAAAATAAGATTTTCCAAAAACTATTTAATGCACAGATTCGGTTTATTTACAATTTTATTATATGTATAGATAGATTTGTGATGTAAGCTTTGCTTTGATTTGTATGATTTGTATCTATAGTAAATGAAAACTCCCTTTTAGTTATTTTTTAATTTTTAGTGTTTTGATAACATAAATGTCCACATAATATTGTAAACTTGATACATATTATGACAACATATAAATTCAATGAAAATTAAAGCTGAGCAAATTCTTTAGTCCAGCGATCGTAGTCGCGAGCATAAAGCTTAACAAAATAGGAGAGAAAGGAGCGACTGTAAATTTCAGGTGTATATAACATTGGATCTTTAAAAATAATATTGTGTTAATAAGAATATATATTAATAAGATGTTAACCTGTTTATATGTTAGTTAAAAGCCCCTATAAGCTAGCGTAAACATTGTATGCGAGTTGTACTGATAAATGATGAGGTAGAAAATGTGCAAAATTCTAAATACTTTAAACGAAAATTAATTTACAGAATAAATATCTTTTCAGATACTGGATATTTTAAGTTATGATCACTAAAGTTTTTGTTTTCCATAATATATTTAAAAAATAGTTACTTGATGAAATGAATGAAACGCGAACTTATTTTCGAAATTAATAAAGTATGTTCCTATTGCGAAAAAATAAAATTTTTATTTCTGTGTATATGTTAGTAAAAACAACACAATATTCGGTTCGGAACCTTCGATGCGCGAGTCACAATCATACACATTTGCAAATCATTACAGCCATCAAATTATTACTAATAGCATAAAGCCAAAGAGTTTTTTTTGTAATTTTAGCGAGATTGAATCCCAAAACGGCTGAAGCGATTTTGATGAATTTAATATTTTCAAGCAATCTTCAGATCAGCCCAGCGATAGGAAGTTTAAGCCGCGGGGAAGCGCAGGTACGGTACAGTACTAGTATTTTAAATATTTCAGTTCAGTGCAGTAAACTTAAAGGACAACAAGGGTAAGTATCATTAAAAACTAATTAAAAGCATTTATGCTTCTATATATTATCTTAAATAATATATTATCTGATAGGATAATTTATTATCTGACCATGGTGAGTAATCTCATCAGGAATATTTTTCTGGCATTTAAAGCTGAGCACCATCTATTGTCTCTTTAAGCAAAACAAAATAGACCAAATAGGCAGATTAAAGAAGTTATAGGATATCCGACAAGTAAAGCACTACCTAATTAGTAGTGTGTAATCTACATATATCAATACTGCCATTGTTATAAAATTGATAAATTAGTTTATAAATTTAATTTTCTTAAACAATATAATTCAATTTACCATTACATATCTTGCCAAGTAAATCTATTATGAACTCTCTGGATACCAACAGTCACTGTTGTTTTGACTGTATTGGCAAATAAATAAACAGAAAAACTTAAAAACTGATAGCTAGAAATTTAATTATATAACTCAGTCATATAAGCACAGCCTGAACTTTTAGCAAACAAATTATATAAAGAAACATAATAAAGCATATAAATAAACTTTAGAAAAAAGATAAAATGAACAATGACACATTGTTTAAAAATGAATTGTTGAAGTTCAATATCACTGATCACATAAAAATGGAGTTAAGTGAGGTCATTACCTTTACATGTCAGTTCACATTAACAAAGTAAAAGTACAACAAAACAAAAAACACTATAGTAATCTGAATTGACCATGAGAATTTAAGTTTTGGTCACATTTGAGCTCTTGTTTAAATGTTCATTGAATGTCTAATATGAAGTTTATATGTGTGTATGTTAATTATTTATTACTCCTTCATGATGAAATAGCTGGAAGTTTTATTTGTCATCCATGGCTGGAAGGATTTGGATGCAAATTAGTACTTATAACACAGATAGCCTATTACATTAATGACAGAGTAGCTAGCTAGAGTTAGAGTAGCACATTGGCTACCATCAGGCACACAGGTATGCATTACCTGTCATTAAATAAATATTATGATTTTTATTATTCTATTAATCTATATAATCTTTAAATATAAAATTTCACGCTATTTATTGTGTTATGTATTCTTCATATTGGATTCATAGTTGAAATAATTTTACTTAACTTTACGGTTAATTATTACCTATTTATATTAAAAAAAATATTATATTTTAAATTACCTGTCTCTTTTCATTTCTCTTCCCTTACTTGCCAATTTTCAGGTATATCATAGTAATATAAATTAAGTAAGTACCTAGTATATACCAATGTACTCTGTGGTACCTACATACTTTATCTAAATACTCCATGTTTTAGAGATGGTAATTATACAAATAGGTGGCTAACCTGTGTGTAAAAACTAGCGATCGTTAAATTTTTATTAGTAAAAACCGCTTACTTACGTATTTATGACTACAACTCTACAAGTCCATTTGTAGTTAAGACATACTATATGGTAATTGCTATGGTTAAAAGTAATTTATCATATAAACGTAGATTAATTAGTGCCCAATTCAACTCACAAAGTACGAAATCTAAAATTAAATAAGAACATTAAATTGAATTTTACAAAACAAACTAATCATAGATAATAAATATATTCTTTTTTTTACCATAGTCTAAAATCCAAATAGCTGTATAGACTATAAATAATATGTACTAGCACAGATGAACTATAGTTATACCCTGTTTTCCAATTAGAGCACCAAAGCGCATTATGCGGCCTAATGCTAACTTCGGATGTTCCAACTACAGCAACGCTCAGCTCAATCGAGCATTTTGAAAAGTACTGCTTTGGCGTGATGCGAAGGATACTAACTCAATAGCAGAAAATATAACAAGTGTTTTTTCTTCAAGGTTGCATTGATCATAATTTTATTTACATGATCGTAAGTAATATTTGTTTACATTTTACTTTTATAAATAAATAAATACGGGTAATCTCTGGATCTTACTGAACCGATTTAGATGAAATTTGGTAAGAAGATAATTTGAGACCCTAGGAAGGACATAGAATAGTTTTTATCCCGGAAATCATTCCTTAAGGGGTTGAAAATGGGGATGAAATTTTGTATTGGGAAGCAAGCTAAGGACGAACCCGAGAGAAGCGAGGGTGAGTCGCACATTCTGGCCATAAATAGGTACTACATTTAATATTACATTTGGATTTCGAATCTGTCATTTTTATATGATTGTTCATTGTTTTCTCATTTATATATATATATATATATATATATATATATATATAAATGAGAATATATATATATATATATATATATCTATATATATATATATATATATCTTTTCTTTCAACACTGAACCTAGTGCCCTCCACTGGTGCACTTGAAAACTAATTCACGTTCCAATTAAGCATTAGCACACTTCGGCATTGTGCCCCATACTACGGCATTATGCTCTGTAATTGGAAAACAGGGATATACTAGTGTTACTACGAATAAATAATAAGTTATTTATTCGTAGTAGTGTTATCATAAAACCAGATAGTATTTAAACTACATACGTCATGACTGGTTAAATGACTTTCGTCATCCACATAGAGTATATTGATACATATATAGTCATCCCAGATGACTGCTACGGCCAGCGTACATCGTTCTATGTATTATTCGTTCATCGCATTATTCGTATTGTCATCTATGATTCGTATCATATTATGTACATTTTTTGCTTTGTTTCTATGCGCCTTTTAATATTATACTAACTAGGGTAAGTTGGATGTGTTTTTATAGATTAGTAAAATTTAAAGAAAATACTACAAGCACACTCCACACAAATAAAATGCAGTAGAATAGATGAACGAAAACCGCTTGTCTATTTTAAAACCTTCATGTAAATTGTAAACCATAGAGTTAGACAACAATCTTGCTTATCTGTGCATAAAATGTCAAAAACTCTTGCTGTTCCTCCGTCCTCGTCTATGTCAAAAACGAATATGAATTATAAACAAAAACACGTTTCCACTATATAAGTTACTAATTTAATAATTAATATAAATTAACATTCTCTACACTAAAACTACCTGCGTAGCAAAATTATTTTGGCAATAAATTTAAATTCTTAAAATATGTCAAATTTAAAAATAAAAGTTATAAGTCGTAATCCTGAAGATTATTTGCGTGCAACTAAAAGGGACATACATAAAAGTAAATCTAACATTGATTTATATTATATATAATGACAATCAAGAGGGATAATATAAATTATTCTAAAAAAATAGTGCTATATAATTTTTACATATTGTAATAAATTATACTAACATAACCTTGCTAATTAATTTTATGTTTTTAGTACCTAGAAATTATGATCCCAGTCTGCACCCACTAGAAGGACCTAGGGAATATGTAAGAGCCTTGAATGCAGTTAAGCTCGAAAGGGTGTTTGCAAAACCTTTTATTGGTAATTTAGATGGGCATACAGATGGAGTATCAAGTCTTGCTAAACATCCAAGTCGATTAGCTGTTTTAGCAAGTGGAGCATTTGATGGTGAAATAAGATTATGGGACTTAGCTAGTAGAAAGTGTACTAGACATTTTATTGCTCATGAAGGTTGGGTTCGATCAATATGTTATACACCAAATGGTCAGCACTTTACTAGTGTTGGAGATGATAAAACAATTAAAACTTGGAAGACAGAAATACAAGACCCGGATGATGAAGATCCTGTCAATACATTGTTAAGTATGTCAGTTGTGTCTGGTATTTCTCATCATAGGTCAAAACCAATATTTGCAACGTGTGGTGAACATTGCCAACTCTGGGAGAATACAAGAAGTGAGCCTATCAAAGTATTCAAATGGGGCGTTGATAGTCTTCATCATGTTGCATTTAACCAAGTAAGGCAATATTTATAATATTTTAACATAATTTGTTGTCAAATACTTATCAGTGGTTGGTTGTATCACTAATAATAAATATATTACTTGTAATAAAAAAGATTTAAGTTGTTTTTTTATTCTACAGGTAGAAACCAATTTACTAGCGTCTTGTGCCAGCGATAGGAGTATAATTTTATATGATTTTCGTGAATCTGGTCCATTAAGAAAAGTTGTTATGGAATTACGGTCTAATGCTCTTTCTTGGAACCCAATGGAAGCATTTATATTCACAGTTGCCAATGAGGATTACAAGTTCGTATGGTTGTTTTCTATAGTATACAGTCCTTTTTAACATTCTACTGCTGGGTATGGGCCTCCCTTCACTATAAGGGGGATCAGGCCATAGTCCACCACCATGCTGGCCAAGTGTAGGTTGGCAAACTTCACATGTTTTCGAAAACTTGCTAGGTTTTCTCAGACATGCAGGTTTCCTCACAATGTTTCAACGAAAAGCAATCAAAGGTGAAAGGTAGTAATCATGTTAGAAATTATTCCCACATGAAAATATCAGAGGTGTGAGACCTGGGATTGGAACCCGATTCACTCGGTTCCCAAGAGAGCATTACCACTGAGCTACCACTGGCTTTTTGTCTTCTATTAACTTTAAAAAATAAAATATATTTATGCATTACTATATTTATAGTAATATATTTTGTCATTATAATAAATAAATAAATTATTTAAACATTTATACCTAAAATTTGTTATTTATGTAAATTAAGTAAAATATTTGTTCCAGTCTATACACATTTGATGTGCGCAAATTGAAACAACCAATAAATGTTCATATGGACCACACTTCAGCAGTAATAGATGTAGACTACTCACCAACTGGTAGAGAATTTGTAGCTGGTAGCTATGACAAGACTGTCAGAATTTTTGAAACTTTAAAAGGTCATTCAAGGGATGTATATCATACTAAAAGAATGCAGAGATTGACTTGTGTAAAATGGACCTTAGATAACAAGTATATCTTAACTGGATCAGATGAAATGAATATTAGGATGTGGAAGGCTAAAGCTTCAGAAAAACTTGGTGTTGTAAGTACAATATTAGCTTTATAGCTATATAGCTTTATTAAAACTACTCACACTGCACCCAAACTTAAATTAACACTAATTTAATTCATACTGCCATAATAAATGGACTGACTTTGCAAGATCATACATTGCATCTTGTATGTATGTATAAAAATGTCATGTTTACTGTGCTTGATAAATATATACTTCTTTAAATAACATAGTCAGTATCATTCATGGTTGTTTTAATGTACACTAAAATATTTGCTTTGTAGTGACCAAACTATTGTTTGTGAAAATAGGTGCAAACCTCACACTGTATGCTATTTAAATATTCAAATTGTATTTTGCTCTGTCCATACATGTCATATATTAAAAATGAAGTTAAGAATTTGGGTTTGGTGTTTTTGAAATTATTTTGTAATACTTTTTAAAGATGTAATGAATGTATTACATACAATATTTCAAAATCTTCATTTAAAAGTTATAAGAATGATTTTTCTTTTTGTCATAGATTTTTGTATAATATATTATTTTATAGCTGCCACTATAAAATAGCCGGAAATGGCTATGGCTTTTGTTCATTCAGTATATTTGTTTAATTTATCCAAATTTTTCCAGCTAAAACCTAGAGAACGCACAGCACTCAATTATTCGGAGGCATTGAAAGAAAAGTTCAGTGGACACCCTCAAGTTAAGAGAATAGCACGTCATAGACATGTGCCAAAACATATAATTAATGCTCAAAAAGAAATTAAGACTATTAAAGAGAAGAACAAACGCAAGGAGGCCAATAGGAGAACACACAGCAAACCAGATACTGTACCATTCATTCCTGAACGAAAGAGGCATGTTGTTAAGGAAGATGAGTAATTGGTGTTATTTCTTTTATTGTAAGTTAAACTTGTTAATACAGTTTAAATAAATAAATATATAAGAATCATATACAACTTTTATTGACAGAAATTTACATAAGGTTAAGGTTAACATTTTAAATACCCTATGTTTTATTTATCAGACGAAATAAACAATTTGGAGCATCTACGCCTTAAGCGGTGCACGTGAAAAAAGGTTGCTTTGAACCTAACATTGTTATAGTATAGTCCACAAATACTTAAAATAACTAAGTATAATATTAAAACTAGTTGATATAAATTGGCTTTGTTGGATTGACTTGTTGGTCCCTTTTTGTTATATCGTGTTTTAAGATGATAATCTAGTTTTTGGCCAAAAGTAAAAATTTCTTTTCAATCTGCCTTAAAAACACAAAAAAACTAAAAACTTAAATAAATACAAAAAAAGCAAAAGTAAAAACTTTGTACCTGACTGGAATTCGAACCCAGACACCTGTGATTGTTGATCTAGCGCCTTGGCGGCTTGACCACGATGCTTATGCCACCATTTTTTTTTCAAATTAACGACCATATTTTGCGTGGGATAATGCGAAAAAAAACCTCATGAAAACTCGAAAACACGCATTTTCCCACACATAAGACTAATGTAGATCTATTTTTCGCCTCCAAAATCCCGACATACCAAAATTTCAGCTCTAATGATTGTTAGAGTCGTTTCCGAGATCGCCGATATAAATAAATAAATATACAAGAATTGCTCGTTTAAGTATACGAGATATTTTACAAATCTCCATTAAATATCTTTTTCTCAAAAACAGTTTTGAAGCCAAAAGGCGTGGAGAGCGTAAACGCGTAGCTCTTTAAAATTTATAATTCTTAATCTCAATTTTCCTTATGCAACATTATCAACATCTACCTATTTAGATACATATTTTTAACTTTTGAAATTACTTATATGTAGATACAAAATACAAATTCTTCACTATATGTTTTAGGTACTATGTATTATATATTTTATTATTGATGGTTATACTTATACATATGTAACTGCTGTGTATTTTATTTAATACTTATTTAAATACAAATGTATTAAAATTCTTATAACTAGTAATATATTATACTCGTAATAAACAACATCTACAATCTACGTGCTTATATTAAAAAACATTTTAAGTAAAATGTCTAGTTGTACTTGCATGTTTTTTTTATTTACAGTTAACTTTTCTATTCATTTTTAGACATTTTATTTACTACAATCTAGCAAATCTAGCCTCATTAAATGAATCTAACATTGAAATATATTATCTAATTGATATTCAAGGTTATTGTGTCATTAAAATAAATGTGTTAAGACTTCTTTATATTACACAAATCAAGTGTCAAACGTTCTAAATATGCATAATTGGTGATATAATTTCTGCTATGTCTACAATCACATATTAAATAATTTTAAGTATTGTAAAAAATAAACAAAATATGTAGGGACTTGGTCATAATATAATTTAAACTTTGCAACATTAAATAAAAGTTTGAGTAAAATTATAAATATATAAGTAATATACCATCAAAAACATACATAAATGTGAAAATGGGAGCCAATTTCAATATTAAGAATACGCGTGGTTGTCAACTTCACCAACAAAAGAATTGGGATCTAAATGGGTGCCAAGTTCTGTAAATAATCCTGTTTTTTTTTTCATAATAACAAAAAATTCTAAAATAAATTTATAACACAATTTCTTGTTTTTTTTTTCTGCTACAAAAGTGCTATAAAGTATTTGCTATTTAAAAATATAACTTCTTAAATTTGAACAATCGAATTATGTACGCATAGTAGATAACTTAGGATAAATTGAATTTTATACCCCCCCCCCAACGTGCGTTCACCTTGTCGTGGTGGGGCGGGCTCAGTAGTGCTCGGCAGTACAGCCGGGCGCGAAGTCAAGAAACGCACAGGGAGGTGGCCCACTTCGGTGGGCGGTGGGAAGCGGCCCTCTTCGGAGGGCGGTGAACCATGCCGGTTGCTCCTGGTACTTCTCTGATAGCAGAGTGGACCTTGGAGCAACCCCATGGTTGTTGTGGTCTGCTTCGGCAGACCTGCCGTCGGGGCGTCGTAGTTGAATGCGTAAGCGATCCTGCGACCCATTAAGACGGGGGAAGGCTTTGTTGGGTTTTAGTGGGTAGTACTGGCTTTGCCGATGAGTACCACACCTCGTGCGTAAATTCATTTCCCAACGTTAAAAAAAAAGGATAAATTGAATTTCAAGATTTGACTTGGCTAGTTTTTACCAGTAAAGCAAGTTTTTAGAAGACTGAGACATATTGACCTTACAATATAAAAACAGTAACATGCGAATACCATAAATAACATATAAGTGATTAGCCGAATATAAGATAACTCGTACGTAAATGGAACCTTTTCTCATGAGAAAGAAAAAGTTTTTCCTATTAATATGATTGCTATTACTGTTATATTTCAAAAGGCACTAGGTGTAAAGCTACTGCTATTATCTTTTGTAAGGCGCAAGGCGTTAATAAACGTTAATTATTTTTTTTTCAAATTTTAAAACGGGTCTCACCGGATTTCCTTATGAAATCTGCACTGGCGTCTTTATTAACATCAGTGCCTTTATTATGTTGCTAGTTGTTGGAAATAATTTTAGGCCAATTATCAAACCCTTAGCTTTATTCGTTTTTGGAAAATAGAGCTTTCAACCCCCTAACTCCAAAATTATTTTTGTACAAAACTATAATAGATATTTGAATGAAACCAAAGCGAAATTAAAGCCACTAATTAGATTCACGTTACATATTTTATTCGTTAAATATGTTCCCCCCATCACACATCTATGTAATTGCTATGCATTATAGTTGGATATTTACCGATTATATGTATCTATTATAGTTTTGTGGAAAAATAGTTTTGGAGTTAGGGCTTGAAAGCTCTATTTTCCAAAAACAAATAAAGCTAGGGGTTTGATAATTGGTCTAAAATTATTTTCAGCAACTAGCAACATAATAAAGGCACTAATGTTAAAAAAGACGCCAGTGCAGATTTCATATGGAAATCCGGTGAAACCCTTTACTGTTTTCGGATTTTTCCTTTTGTATGTATGCACACGATTAACCATCTGGACACCAAATTTCAACTTTCTAGGTCATCTGGAAGAGGGTTAGGTTTTACTTCTATATGTCAGACAGTGATAAAAATGCCGATTTTTAGACATTAATATCTCAATAATCGTTCGAGCTGTACTTACGAAATTTCTAGTTAATCTAAGGGGATTTAATAAATGAACCAAATTTCATGAGTTTATGTTAAATAGATTTGAGTTATTACGAGGTGAAAAGTGGCTCCAAATGGTTCATGTAAATATACATACATACGGTGCTGCGTCGCCAGTTCCTTTGGTTTTAACTTGGCTGGACACGCTACCGCGTGTCTTGATATTATGTAAAACTATCCATGCCAATTTTGCATTGCTTTCTCAATTCTTTTCTTTTAGTACTACACCTAACAAGAAATCTACAACTTATCTATCTGTGAATTACTTTTTTAAAATTAGTCATCTGATATAAGCTCCAAATACAAATTATATCAAATACCTATCTATACAGATAAATAAAATTGAAGGTCTGTTTGTAATCTCAAAATAACAGCTTTTTACTAAATGCGTATGAAAGTTTATACATTACTTCTAAGAAAACAACAATTTTTAATTTGTTTGTCTGTCTGTTCTGCGTAAAAAAATTAAAACACATGAAATTATGAAAAAAATCTGCATGCACGGAACGCACCCATGTGAAGCGAGGATAAGTTGCTAACACTAATAAAGAAAACCACAGATAGGTTATTGTGATTCACCAGTCAATAATTACATGAACTCTCTATAACTGGTATAAATACAAAGAAAATCATGTTTTATACATGCATTTATAATCATCATAATTTTTTAAAAATTAATTTACACTCAGGTCAACCAGCTTGATTTATTGGTCTACTAATGCGATTTGGTAATGTCATTGTTCTGATGTCCATTCTGAAAAAAGTATGCATAAGAAAAGTGAAATATTTACTTATATTTGCAAAACTTAAAAACTATCATAAAATTCCACATTATCCCATTAATATTATAAATGCGAAAGTTTGAGAGGGTGTCTGGATGTATAGATGTATGTTACTCTTTCATGCAAAAACTACTAAATGGATTTTAATGAAACTTTACAATAATATAGCTCATACATCAAAATAACACATGGGCTACATTTTATGAAAAATGTACAGTTCCCGTGGGATAGATTTGTTTTTTCTTCTCTTAAATATATTCTCCATCACACATGACGTTGGAGAAGTAATCTGTGCTCAACTGGGGCACTTTCAGGACATTAACAAGAAAATTGAATCATAAAATTGAGCTGTGTGTATTTTATGCAGGCTAAATCTTTCTCTTTAATTCAAGAAAGATTTTTCACAAAAGTCAATAAAAATATGATAATTATCTATTTTTATTATATATAATATATACTCACATTATATCTCGAGGAAGAGATGATTGATCTAAATTGTGTTCTAGAACACATAGAATGCTCAGTGTTTTTAGAGTTGGTGCATAATCTAATACATGCAGGTCACTGTTATCAATGAGCCTCTCTGGATTATCATCTGAATCATCAATTTGTCTATTGTTGTTATGTGCACATGGACTACAAAAAAACTTAATCTATATATCATATTAATTTTGTAAAATGTAATTTTCAAAATCTATAATTTTGGAAATTGTTATGAAATCTAAACTTAAATTTCAATACAGTAACATATTTACTGACCATATTTAATTTAAAATTATTTTGCGAACCTTGTTCCTCCAAATAAATAAACTTTGTCTTTGTAAATCAAGCATGCTTGTCGCCTCCTTTTACATGGTCCAACCCCATGCACATTAAGATGTTCCCAATAATTTCCTTTTATTGAGTATCTATATAAATCATTGAAGTGAGTCTTTGTTTTTGCATTTAAACCACCAAAAATGTACATGCTATCCTTGTATATCCCTAGACAAGATTATTTTGTTAAATTATTTCAAAAATAACATTAAAGATATTTACATTTGAAGATATAAATTGAGACATCATTGCAAGACACTTACAAGCAGAATGACTCCGTCTTGCTTCAGGCCAAGTACCCTTCGCATTTACATTTATCCAAGTTTCAGTTACTGTATCTAAATAATAAACCTGTGGACAGTATATTTCCTCTTCAGAATTATATGGACTGTTTAAGTCACCTCTGCCACCAAAGATGTACATCCTGTGATAATATGGTACAGCTGTGTGAAAGTCTCGGTGGCAGGGTGGTGTGCCATGTATATTTACAAACTTCCATTGCATTGTATCCAAATTTAAACAGTGGACATCTTGAGAATATTGATCTGTATGGTATTCAAACCCTCCAAATATATACATTTTATTTTTAATAACACAGGCTGAATGACCATCCTTTGCATAGGGCACCATACCAGAAACAGCAGGTGTACTCCATTCTAATTTTTTTGTATCAAAGCAGGAAAGTGTTTCACAAGCTACAGCATTATTCCTACCACCCCACATATAAACCTGTAATTTAATAAGTATACTTAACTTATTGTATATAATGTTATTGGCAATGATGATAATTTCTGTACCTTATGTTTATATGCGACCGCTGTATGACCATATCTTTGGAAAGGCACAACATCATTTTTTATGTAATTTATAGGCGCCCACCTAAGGGTTGAAGTGTCTAATATATGAACTGGAATTGGCTCCCAATCTTTGTATTCTTCAGTTGAACAATATCCACCAAAGGAATATATTTTGTCCTCAATACAAACAGCGGCATGATTAACTCGTCTAGGACCGCCCTCAATATGAACTGTCCACCGCATCTTAAAATTCATAAATGTTTAGTTTATTTATACATATATTGATCACGTCTTGTTACATTGCTGTCATAACAGGATAAAAATGTCTTCAACAATTTTTACTACAAATACTTGCCTTTCTGTTTACAAGTATCAAGGCTATTAGTTACAAGGTGAATAAAAATTGAAGTATTTTTTTGTATATAATTCTAATGTTCAAATAAATTAACACAGAACAGAGCTATAAAACACAACTGAAAAATGGAATTAACAAGAACCGCTTCGAGTTGCCGAGTGCCGACTGACATTTACGTTTTTGACATGTTGCCTTGCCTTCCATAATTTAACATTAATTGCTATTGAAAAACATATAGATTATTGATACAATTTGTTTTTGTGTCAAGTATTTTCTATACGTATAATAAAATTCTGAGTCGAATTTGTAGGTACAATAAATATTTTTTGGAAAATATTATTTAAATAGTCATTATTATCGATACAGGGGCCGAATCTAGTTTTTAGGATTTTTGTCTGTCTGTTTATCTGGGAACGCATCATGAGAAACCCACTGGACAGATTTTGATGAAATTTGGTATGATGGTAGCTGGTTACCCGGGTCAACAAATAGGATACTTTTACGGCGGAAAAGTATCTCATCTTTGAGAAATCTACACTAACCTTAAAACGTAGGGACGAACCCGAGCGGAGCGAGGGTGAGCCCCTAGTATTGAATAATGTGGACTTTAGTAGAAATGTCGAAGTTAGCAAGCAAACCTATTCATATATTTAAAAAAATAATAAAAAAAAACCAACTTCAAAAATAATTCACTAAAAAGTAAAAAATAACTGATTGGTAGTTTTCATTTTTACTATAGATACCTAATCAATTAATATTAAACCTAATAAGTCGGTGTGCTTGGTTTTGTAGCGGCTGGCACCGACTTCGAAAATATTTGATTAGGTATGTATGTATAGTAAATGAAAACTACCAATCAGTTATTTTTTAATTTTTAGTGCTTTTTTTGGAAGTCAGTTTTTTTAAGTTTTTATTTTCCTCTTTTTAGTGCAAACATAGTATTAGCAAAGTACTCGTAAGAAGAAAGTATTTTAACAAAATACTCCTCCGTTTAAGTTAGTTTGATGACAATTTTTATATGAAGACTGACAAACTAAAATTCGCTTTTATTAGTAACACTAAAAATTCTGGCTCTAAAATCCGATTTTAACGTATTGTGCTTGTCAAATCAAACAAAATAAGCCCAAACTCAAAGTATCTACTATTAGCCGTTGAAGAGTTCCACCTATCCACCATTTGGCCATACCATCAGAACAGGTCTACGATACCGAACCACTGCACTGTCAACGGAAATAGAAACACAAAGTTTCAAGTCAATATGACAATTACAAGTAGGTAGGTTAAATTTATTATTAGCTATTTTTTCCATCCTTAGGGGTGGGGTTTTTTAATTTAAATAGGACCAATCTGGAAGTAAACACTTTTAAATAAAATAAAAATTGTCCAAATCGGTTAATAAATGCTGGAGTTCTGAAGTAACAAACATAAAAAAAATACAGCCGAATTGAGAACCTCCTCCTTTTTGAAGAAGTCGGTTGAAAAATAGTAGGTATCATTTGCTTATATATATATATATATATATATATATATATATATATATATATATATATATATATATATATGCATAGTCGAAATTTTAATTAAAATATATTATTATGCTACTTCCCAATTTTTTGCGCTTCGTAACAACATTTGTTTTACGCAAGTAAATGCAATTTAAATAATCTATCTATACTAATATTTTAAAGAGGTAAAGTTTGTGAATTGTGAGTTTGTGACGTTGTAGGAGGTAATCTCTGGATCTACAGAACCGATTTAGATGAAATTTGGTAAGAAGATAGTTTGAGACTCGGGGAAGGACATAGGACAATTTTTATCCCGGAAATCATCCCTTAAGGGGGTGAAAATGAGGACGAAAGTTTGTATGGGGAATCAACCTATTTTTTTTTTAAGTCAGGAAACCCTGTTGCCCACCGCCTGGGGAAGAACGACGGGTTATGTGGGGCTCCTGCCGCGCAAAAGGTGGTAAACGCGCGGCAGCCTACCCACTAAAACCTGACTGTGTCCTCCTCATTCGCCTCCAGGTTGGGGCCACGGGAACTAGAGAATCATCCGCGAACCCCGACGGCGATTGCCCTACAGCACGTCTCTGTGTCGGAGGGTGTGAGCAGTACCCTCAACGACGACGTGTGGAGTAGCGCGCGGGGGACACCGCGCGCGCCTACTCGGGCCAGGTGTGTAGGCGGCAGAACCCGAGCGAAGCGAGGGTGAGTCGCCAGTACATATAATAAAATTGTAACTAAACCGAATCTGTACATTAATTTTTTTTGGAAAATCTTATTGAAATATACATTATCGATACACAGGCCGAATCTACAGTTTTTAGAATTTTTGTCTGTCTTTTTCTTGTTCTTGTTGTTTTACCATATACATATGTATAAAATATATATGTATGTTAATTAAAAGTATAAAAATTATTTTAAAATTCCCTTTGTTTTTAAATTCTTTTAACTGCCGCGTCAGCAATACGTTAGCTGCCACGTTAGCTTATACGTAAGAAGATAATAAATCATGCAAAGGAGAAAACTAAGAAAATATTGTGACTCCTGACGTCCGTTTCGGTAGGTATCCACTTCGAAATAAAACAGATATAGGTTTTATTTTGTTATTATGTCCTTACATATGAAATTGACGTTTTGTCGAACTGGCCACGTTGATCTCAAATATCTGGCGTTTGGTGAGGAATTCCAAATTCAAATTTATTTCAAATTTAGGCTTTTGTATTTGGCTTTCGAATTTAGTGATTCATTTGTTTTCGCGCCATTTGATTTTTCTTTGACATCGTTCTGCAAAATATGTAATACTTCACATATCGCGTTATTTACGAATACGAGTTCCACCGTGGCACTGGCGCTGCAATAACAGCTCGAAGGATCAATAGTATGTATGGGAAAGTTACTATAAAAGAAAACACGGTAGGTTTTTGGTTCCAACGTTTTCGTTCTGGAAATTTTAAAACCTCAAATTGAGTGAAGCACACCAACAAACACGCGTCGAGTGCTGCGTTACATTACATTACTCAACCGTTACAATAACGAGGAGATTTTGAATTGTATTGTTACTCAAGTGATGAGTAAAAAGTGAACTAAAAAGAAGAGAACAAGTTGACGAAGGAACATAGTACTACGCAGTCGGAGACATACACACACGCAGCTATTCTAAAACATGTCCATTGTACATATGTATGTCTCCATGCCTGCATAGTACTATCTATGCTCCTTCGTCAATAAAACGCTCATCACAATGGTTGAATCAGGAGAATCGGCCAAATCCTGCCCCAAGAGAAAGTTGACTCAGAAAAAGGTACTGGTAAATGTCTGGTGGACCAGTGCTGGTGTCATCCACTACAGCTTCCTGAGATATGGCCAGACGTTTATGGCAGATCTGTACTGTCAACAATTCCAAACCGTGATGGACCAGATAGCCGTTAAGCAACCGAGACGAGTCAATTGTTCTAGCCCACTGCTGCTTCAGGACAACGCTAGAGCACACACTGCATAACAGACGGTCGCTAAATTAGGGGACCTGCGATAGGAATGTCTCCAAAACCCGACATACCAGACCTTGCTTCAACAGATCACCACTTTCGGAATTTAGACCATTTCTTACAATCTTCATTACTATGCTGGATTAAGCCTTACGAAGGCTCCTATTGTGGTTTAGCTATATGGGCGGTAGGTTTATTTTGATTCTGAATTTTGAACTTCACTAACATCAAGTTTTTTTAAGACATCTTCAATCTTATATTTTGTCCATATGCTTATTGTACCTAATAAGTTAATATCAAAAAGATATTAACTCGTAAAATGTATATATTTTTTCTTTACATATACTTTACACTTGTTATTTCTAAAAAAGTGTGTGTGCCTACTCCATTTAATGGTTATTCCGACACTGAATAACTTACCAATTTATTCTTAAAATTTAATTAAGTTACCTTAAATTACTTATAATATACAGAATACATATACTAATATACTTTATGTAATACGTTAACAGGTATCAACTGAACCGTAACAGAGCACAGCTTTGTAAAATATATAGATGGTAAATAGGTTGTGCAATAAGCCTATTTTTTCATCAGTAAAAGAGCAATAGGCGTGATCTTTCAACGCCAGGCGGTGTTAGGGCGCGAATCATTTGTTATTATTTCTATCACGCACCGAGTTTCCAAACAAATTGTATTGTAACTGACAATATGAGCGATTATTGTTCGATTTGATACAAATGTTGGCCGTTCCCTGATTTTTTGAAGAGATAAATAAATGTTCACTACCCATATCTTACATATGAAGCGCCTATAAGACAATGCTTTCACGATTTCCAATACGCACAATTTTCTATGTTTGTTGTCTTCAATACAAGCTTCAATGGAGTAGAGGGTCAATTCTCGAGAAATAACTTTATTTTTTTTTCATGTAAGTATAATAAATAAATAGTAACTCAAAAATAGCACCCAATTGTGTGTAGCTCATCATAAAATCATTTTAGCTTTATAACTTGTTTTAACTAGGAAGGTACTGAATATTGCGTGTTTCGTTTGAGTTTTCGCAAAGCAAAATCTAACCATTCTCGAGAAATAGAAGATCAAGCAGACATTTTTAAAACTATTGATCTTGGTTTTGTTGATCCAATCAGCCTTATAAAATTAATAGCAGTAGGTACCCGCGGCTTCGCACGCGTTCAAACTTCCGATCGCTACCAAATTTCACAGAATCACCCGCTCAAATTTCATCAAAATCGCTCTAGCTGTTTAAGAGTCCATAGGAAACACACACACAGATTTTTATGGTTAGTTAATTTTTTGTTAAAATTAATGTTAAATATTACCCGTTTTATTTGAAAAATCAACTAAATATAACATATCCTATAGCACTTTTGGAATCGTAAGAAATATTAAAAAAAAAAGTTTCATTGAAATCTGTTAGATAGATTTTTCGTTTAATCCGTTCAAACATACATAGGTACATTGAATTTTATATTATTAGTATAGATTATATTTTTTTATGATAACAAATAACTTTTTTTTTATATTGATAATAAGAAGCTCTATAACAGAATTTATTATTTTTCTTCCCCCAGGACCGAGGCGGTGACATGTCCTGACGTATAGAAAGCGCATTGCCGATGACGGCCGATCTATAAATCATATTTGGGACCGGCAATCGTCCGTCCTCCCGTCTGCCTCGTGATTTTACTCGTTT